AAAGGAGAGGCCTGCTTCTTTAGGCCTCAAAGATCGCTTAAGATTAGTATTCTTTGATTTACTAGTGCTTCTAGGAATCGAAAATTCTAGGAAAAGTTATAGCATTTAAAAGGAGGTCTGAGTATTCCCAATCTCCGAACACAGAAATTTATTTTTAATGTCAACAAGGTCCATGTTATAGACAGATATTACATTTATCAAAATTTGTAACTATTCCCGGATTAATGCCTCAACAGCTTACCAAGATATACATGTATACGTGCGGATAAGGATATAAAATTTTGAAATGTATATATAGTCTAAAATTTATATCCAGATCAGGAGCGGGCGCATTGCGTTTTCCGACTCCTTCAATTTCTGAAAAAATTTTGATTTCCGAGTTCCGACTTATGAGCCAGTTCCAATTTCCATCTCTTCCGATTTTCGACACCTCTAACTGTTCCTACCCGCCTCTGATCCGGATACAGATATTAAAATTTCTAGCCATTCCCAAATTCATTAAAATACCTCAACTTCCTTAAAGTACTTTTTCCTCATTTTCCTCCTTTATTCAATTTATTCTCTATTCTCTTTATTTATTTATTATTTCCGAATATTTTTAAAGTGTTTATTTAAAATATTTACTGGATAGATTTTAACTGGAGAGATTCTTGCGCGCGATATTCCATAAAGGAAAGAGGGAGAGAATGAGTTAAAAAGACCACCAAACTACCCTTACACTTTACTTATAACTCGATTCGTTTCCGATAAAAATAAATTTTTTATGTGGAATTCCTTGTTTATATTGTACTTTGTCTTTTTTGAAATTTTTTTAAATTAATTTTTTAGATTAGATAATTTTATTGGAATTTTTGAGTTATTATTTTTTGGGTGGTTTTTGGTGCCTTAATTTTAGTTGAAAATTAATTTGAATTAAAAATTAATTTTAAAAATTTCTTGAATTTTGATAGAAAAATTAATTTTAAAAATGAGGCATACTGTAAGACACCCTTGGGGTTAAGAGAATTATATCTTTTAATTAAATGTTTTTTAAATATATAGGGTCTCTTAGGCAGCTCCATAGTAGATATTGTGCCGAGGTCTGCTCTTCGTTATCTAAGCGAGATGTCGATCTCGATCTCTCTTCATGATAGCTATCTCTCAGCAATTGCTCTTCGAGATATCTCTCTCTTTCCAAGGTATTATAAGTAAATTAGAGTACCTATATTAAATTAGAGGAATAATATAGATGATATTAAGTGACGGATATTAGGAAAAAATCAAGAAAAATTGGGGAAAATTTTTGGTTATCGCACCATCACTATCAGGGAGGAACTCTTAGGCAGCTCCAGACTGGACCGAGACTGGTTCATGAACAAAACCTCGAGAATCGACTCATAAGACTCTCCCCGTACTCTCTACTCCTAAATTCGCGACAATTTTAATCGAGCTGTGTCTTGTATTGGGTGTATCCTAAAATAGGTCAATTGAATATTTTTATATTAATTTTAAATTATTTATTTAATGACCTCAAAATTAATATTTTTTATGATGACACAAAAACACTCAACTTTTAAAATATTTTCGTCTTATATTCCACTTGTAAATCCTTTACCTCTCATTCATCTCTCCCTCTTTTAAGTGGTTAAACTCATTGGATTTTTTTGACTTTTATTCTAGAAAAATTAAATTAGTAGTCTGAAAAAATTAATTTTAAAGTTTAAGTTCAACTAAATAAAAAGGAGCGATTTAGGTATACGTCCCCCACCCTCCCCCTTCCCTCACTACCCTATCCCTCCTCCAAACAAGGTTGGGGAACCTTTCGAGCCTACTCCCCTCTTTCCCCTACCCTCACCCCACGTTCCTCACCTCCAAACAAAGGAGGAACCTTGTAAGACTTGGGATATCCGAGACTTGATTTGGCCCTCTGACCACTCCCCCTCCTTTCTCCTCCTTTCCTCAAAATAAGGTGGAAGTAACCTATTAAGGCATCTGATGTACGGGACTTGATCTGACCCTATCCCCACTCCCCCTCCTGCTCAAAATAAGGTAGGAAGAACCTGGCAAATCGGATATCCGATACTTGATTTGGAATCTTAACAAATATTTTTGTGTATCTGTACTTCGAATCCGGATATCTAGATCTGCTAAATATTCTCAGACCTAAATATTCTCTCTCTCAATAGTTTATGTTTTATTCATTTTTTGTAGTTTTTAAGATTAAAAAAACAAATTGCCTCTGTCTGCGCGATGTTTTCAACAATTACACTATCAATTTAATTAATTCCACACCCTCATGATTTTCATTATTTCAACTTCCTTGTTTACACTGAATTACTCACACTTGTTAAATTTCTTATTATCCTCCCCCGCCTTACCCAAAATTTTTTTAATTGTTTCTGAGTGGGTGGATGACGACTAGTCATGGTACTTTTGTTTGTGTTTATTTTAAAATTAAAATTAAATCCATTCAAATTCAACAATTTAATTTTTACTCGCGCGCATCACTGCGCAATCTTAATCAGTCAATATTGAGTTTTTAAATTGTTTTTAAAAATAAAATTTTTTCTCGAATTTTTTTATAATTTTTTTCTCGAATTCTTGGCTATTTTTATTTATTTTTTTATAATTTTCATCGAGAAAATTTTATTTTTTATTTTTTAATAAAAAGGGCCTTTATTTACCTTTATTTTATAACCTTGAGATAATTATTTTTCCATAAGGTACTCAAATAATAAACAATTTCGTGTGACCTTTACCCCTTAACGTATAAATTATTTTTAGGTATATTCTTTAATTAGATATTAAGTTGAAAATTTATTCTGAATAAATCAGAATAAATCAGAAATAGATCAGTAAAATCAGAAAAAATATCAGAATTGTCTATCAGAATTATATCTGAGATAGACAAGAAAAAGGGTATAAGTACCACTTAATAATTCAGAAATCATGCAGAATAAATCTGAAATTATTCAGAAAAATCAGAATTAAGTCAGAAATTATCAGAAATAAGTCAGAAATAATTCTGAATAAACTAAGATTAACACCCCTCTGAAATCTCGGACAGCTTAAATTAGTTTTTTTCCATCTTAATTTGGATAGTTGGAAATCTTCGGATATCCTGATCAAGATCCGGTATCCGAACCGAAAATTTCCGGATATCCGGCCCGTTTTTGGATTCGAATATCCGGGTCCGCCAACCTTACTAATTGGGTAGTCTTAGTATATTGAAATGTGATATTTTATCTAGATAGTTCTTATCATTAGATAACTTTTAAAAATCACATTAAAATTAAATTCTTCCTTCTTCTTTCTTTTGTTTCTATTTTAATGAATAAAAATTAATTAAAATTAATTTTCACAAAATAACAAAATAAATGATAAATATCAAAAAAAATTTTTTTTAATGTTTTAATTATTTTAATCAGTTAAAACAGTAATTTTCGACATAAACTACATCACTAATTTTACAAATTATACTTGTCACAATTTTTTTATTTTTGGTTATTAAATTATTTTTTTAAATTTTTTTATCTTTTATTAATAATCAGTTGATCATTAATCTTTTTAATTTTATCTAATTTTTTTAAAATTAGTTTAAACAGTGTTAGAATTATTTTAGTAAAAATTATTAATTTTTTTTAAATAACCAAATGACTTTACTATTTAATTAATTAATTTAATTATTAATTTTTAAAAAATATTTATACGATATCGAATTATTACTAAATAAATAAATTATAACTGATAATAAAATCAGAATTATTATGACTTATAGAATTATTCAGAATTAAATCAGAATTATTCTGAATTAAATCAGAATTATTCTGAATTAAATCAGAATTATTCAGAATTATTCAGAATTAAATCAGAATTATTCTGAATTAAATCGGAATAAATAATCAGAATTTACTCATAAATAAACCAGAAATGAATTATAACAAATCAGAAATTATTCTGAATTAAATCAGAATAAATAATCAGAAATTAATATTATATATAATAATTGTCAGAATATTTCAAATTATTTCAGAATTTACACTTAGTTATCAGAATTTATGAGATCTATTAATTCTGAAGCAAAATTGGAAAAAATCTGTAAAATTAACCCTAATAATAAATAAAATAAATAGACAAAGAAATCAGAAATATAAAACAAAGTGATCTTCAAATAAAAACAATAATAACAAATAAAATCAGAATTTTATAAAAAATATTATCAATAAAAATATTATTTTTCTATCTATTTTCTGTCGAAAATAGAGGGAAAATTTTTTTTATACTTTCTCCTCTAGCCTACACTAAATCAAAAAAAACTTTGCCCCTTACAACAACTTGGAGTAAATAACCTTCTATTTCCACCTATCCCCCTATCGCAGTTTAGTTAAACTAAAAGAATTTTTTCCTTCAATAGATGCGCACTATCTCCCCCTATAAAATAATCAACAACATTCCACTGCGTCCCCCAAAAATTTTTGGTTTGATGGCAAGTGAAAGTGTCGATCCATGTGGTGATTTTGTTAATGGGAGAATTACTTCTGGTCCTTTACGCATGATAGAATAAATTAATTTTTATGCTAAATTAGAGGGCATTGTAGTGAACGATGTTACATTTTTTCGGTTAAAAAATTTTTAGTTCGTAGGGATAACTTCTTCCATTAAATTCGTTTCAAAATTATAAAAATCTCTGCTTTATCTCAAATATTTTGTATTATGATCTTTTTAACAGATCCCTCATCATAATAGTATCACTCATCAGGCCAACTTCCTTTATCATTATTACACCCTCTCCCAAGTATCACTTCTACTTCTCTCCCATATCCCCACATTTCCTCATCCCATTACTTTTAGATAACTCTCTCAATCATTTCCTATTCTCTAATTTATTCTTATAAATCTCTTCGTTATCTCAATATTTTTATCATGATTTTTTCTAAAAGACCTCTCATCCTAATAATACCACTTATCCTTATTATTATTACGCCTCTTTATCCCAACTCTCTCCAACTCTCCTAATTAACTTCTGCTTCTCACTCGTATATCACATGTCCTCATCCTTTTCCGATTACCTTTAGCCAACTCTCTCAGTTATCATGTCAAATTCTTTCCCTTATCCTTATCACATTTCCTCCTTATCCCTCCACTTTAACCCAACTTTCTCATTTATCGCGCCTAATTCTCCTATTTTATTTCAACAGATTTACAGCTTCCTCCAGCTACAAATTGTCTAGATTTTATCAATTTTTTTCGTTATTTCCCCTTTTATCGTTATTCACACAGTGCATTTTCGTTCTATTTTAACTTTATTTTTTACCCGCTCATCCCCAACAAGTAAAGCTAATATATAAAATTTTGTTGCTTTACACGTGTGGATGAGAAAATGATTAATTATCTGTGTTAAGTGATGAATATTATAGCTTTTTTAATGCTTTTACGAGTGTAACCAAAAAATATATGTTGCAGACAGCATTTTTTGGAAAATAAAATTAATGGAAATAATATCGCTAATTTCCAGTTATTATTTTTTATTTTTAAAATTAATCCCAAATTTTAATTTTTTTAATCCTTAGACTTTTAATTCACCCTATTCCCTCCCTTTATTTAATTTTTAATGAAATTTGATATTTGCCCCTCAACAGACATGCCCATTTTTCATTCTTTGTTTTTTATTTCCTTATTAGTCAACTCTATATTTGGTTACTTAATAAATTTATTTTAACTAATGATGCTGAGAAATTGACATTTAAATGGGAAATATAAATTTAATTTTCTTTTAATTTAAAAAATATTTTTTAATTTAAAATTATTTTTAATTAAAAAAATTTCCTAGAAATATTTAATAAAATTAAAATAATGCCCAGTATGTCTACACCAACTACGAATATTTTTTCGAGTTCATTACCTTCTATATTCAGAAGGAAAAAACAAAGTTATGATATGAATCCGCCTGAACCAACGTGTCAAGTAATTAATTTTAATAATATTTTTACAATATTTTAAACTTGAAACTTAAATTAAGCTTAAGCTTGAAATATATTATTTAGTTAGCAATAAACTTGAAAATTTAATTTTCTTTTAATTTGAAACTTTAATTTACGAAATAATTTAAACTTTATTTAAGTTAAAATAAATAAAGAAGCTTGAAATAATTTTATTAAACTTAAAACAAATTTTAATATTTTACTTAAACTTGAACTTGAAACATTAGTTATGCTTAACCTGAAACAATTTAGAACTTACGAAATAATTAACTTTGTTTAAGTTTAAACTTTAATCTAAGCTTACTATCAGGTTTGAGCTTAAAACTTGAAACAATTAAATAACTTAAACAATTAAATTTAATCTAACATTTAGTCTTATTTTAAGTTCAAGCTTAAACCTGAAATTTTTGTCTTATTTCAAGTTTTAAACTTGCTTTAATTCTATTTTACCGCCTGCTTCAAGTTTAATATTAAATTTTTTTAAAGTTTTAAATTTTTTTAAATTTGCTTCAAGTTTTAATATTATTAAATAATTAAACTTTAGTTAAGTTTAAACTTAAACCTTATTCTTAAGGCCTACTTTCAAATTTAAGATTACACTTAAAATGCAAGTTTTATTTTAAGTTTCCAACGTAGCTTTAATTTGATTAAACCGCCTGATTCAAGTTTAATTTTAATCAAAGTTTTAAATTTTTATTAAAACTTGCTTCAAGTTTTAATATTTTTAATTAAAGTTATGCTTCGAGTTTTAAATAATCTTAAAATTTAGGTTATTTATTTGGGAAATGTTCTAACCGCCGGTCTAGGCAAAGGTGAAGCAAGCATCGAACGGCCCTTAAGTGTTATCTGGCGTATGTGGAATGCTACAAAACAAGCAAATAATAAGCAACATAAAGAAAACAAGATTAATTCACAACCTATTCGAATGAGTTTATGTGTTACCCATTCTGGAATAAAGACAGAAACGAAGCAATTGGGGCTAACCGAATATTGGGCACACAGAATTACTTTTTGTTCAGCTCCGCAACAGTATCCGGTGAATTTTGGAATTTTTAAAAAATTATTTTTTGGATAAATAATAGTCCTCACTTAAAATTCATCTAGTTCTACCCTTGGTGCTGAACTATATCCACCCTTTGGTGTATTTTCAGTCCCATACACACTTGAACTGAAAAAATCGTCCCTTATAACTAGGAGTATACTAAATGGAAGGTATCGCCTAGATAGCTCCACAACACCTCCATCTTGTAGTCAAACCGTGTTTAAGTAGCTCTCTCGACATCTCCATTCCTCCTCCAAACTAACTTTTAGGGAACTTATTTCAAATTTTAAAGGTACCTTTTATTGGGGGTATTGGATATCGAGGTTCAAATATAGAAAATAAATAAATATTCTCTACCCTATAAAATTAAAAAAATTATTTTTTATAATTTTTAGAGAGTTTTTTGTTGGATTTACAAACACGAAGGCAAACGTATGAAACCCGAGCTTAGATGCCATGCAGTTCTATGCAAAAGGCCAACAGAGCCTGAACGACTTGAGAAATTATTAAACCAATATTTACAGGCTGCATTACAAGTGGAAACAATTTTGAGAATTTTTAAAATTTTAATTTTTCCAATTAAAGGAGTATAAACGGGAGAAATTGGCAACTGAACGTGCTCGCAAAAATTCGCTTTTATTGCTTCTTTCCAAAAATAATATTAGCTGTCCGAGGCGTAAACAGCTTCTTTTAACCGGTTCTCTCAATTTTAGGCCTCAGGTGCTTCAAAAATTTTTTTGGAAAAATCGTTTAATTTTGAAGATTAAACGCTCAAATTCTGAACCTCGTTTGGTGGCTATAGATGAGGAGGAGGAACAGTCTGAGGAGAGGAATACAACGCCTACTAAAAATGCAGTGTTAAATAAAGAAAATGTTTCAGTTGATGTTCTTCCTGAAAGAAATGTTGAGGAAGTTGTTAATAAAAGGGATCATAGCGAATTGGAGGTAGAAACTTGAGTATTAATTGACTTAAGTTCATTAATTAATTCCTGAAAGTTTAATTTTAATAAATTTATTTCCGGAAACTTAAGTTTACATATTAATAATTCCGGAAAGTTTTATTTAATTAAATTTATTCCGGAACCTTAATTTTATAAATTAATTCCGGAAATTTTAATTTTATTAAATTTATTTCCGGAAACTTAAGTTTATTAATTAATTTCTGAAGGTTTAATTTTTATTAAATTATTTCCGGAAACTTAAGTTTATAAATTAATCCCGGAAAGTTTAATTCTTCAAAATTTATTTCCGGAAACTTAAGTTTATAAATAACTTTTATTTATTTTTTACTTACTTTATTCCGGAAACTTAAGTTTATAAATAAATTTATTGTTTAGTCTTTCCTTTTATAATTAATTTAAAATTTAAGGCTAACCAAGTTCCAAGTCTGTATAATGAAGATAATGAAATTTATTATTCCTCTTCCGATGCAGAGGATTCTTTAAATTTGGAGTACCATTACAGAAATACGCCTCTTTTAAGTGGAGATTCAAGTTCACAACATTCAGTTCATTCCTCATCAGCTAGCAGTAGCATAAATTCATGTTCTTCCTGTAGCGATGATGGAAGACAAGGTAGAGGATCTTTGTAATTTAATAATGAATTATTCCGGAAACTTAAATAAATTTCCGAAAAATTCCTCTGATTACGGAAACTTAAGTTATCGTTTTCCGGAAAGTTTACAAATTTTTCCGGAAATTAAATACATATCCGGAAATATTTGTCAACTAAAAGCTTACTTTGACAAATAAATTTTTTGGGGAAGCTAGGTCCCAAGAGTTATTGAATAAAGTGAATTTAAATAAAATATTTATCTTTAAAATTAAAAATACAATTAAATATTTTTGTAAAGAATTAATGGAGAATTGAAAACTGAAGATGATCGGGAAGATCTGCCTATTGTTTATATAGGGGATTTAATGGACAATAGGCAGAGATTTAAACAATAATGAATAGAGAAGTGATATGAAAAATAGTATTAACTAGGGGTGAAAAGACAATAGTTTCCGGAAAAAAGAAGAGAGAATAAAGGGTCAAAGTGGCAGCTTATGGGAAAATAATTTATGAAATTGTCTGTCGTGGACAGGTGAAATAAAGGGAAAAATAGGAAGAAATATTTAAATTTATTAATAATTATAATTTCGTGTTCCTTACACGACAATATTATTAATATTTTAAAATATTGTTTCCGGAAAGTTGAATATATATTTTTATATTTCCGGAAATTTGCTTTTCACTTGAGAATATTTATTAGTTTCCGGAAGGGTTACCCTTAATTTTCGGAAAGTACATATTATTATTTATTGACATTCAACTTCCGGTATGAATTATTATTTATTGATGAAATTTAATTTCCGGAAAGTTTAGAAAATTTATTCCTGAGGAATATTCCATAAATATATTTATATTTTAATACTATAACAGACAATGACGATATTGCCCATCATTTTACCTCAAGTATCAGTAGCTGTTCTGCTTCATATACCTCAACCTCAACCAACAATGGAAACAATTCTAGCAGCAACGATTTTATCAACTCTTCATTTTCGCCTTATTTTTCTTTTAATTCTGATTTTCATTCTCCTGTTGATTTATTGACAAATGATGGTAAGGGTGTAAAAAAAGTTTTACTTAATATATATTTTTTAAATTTATTTCATAATTTAAAAAATGATGACTCTACTTAGGCGTCCCATGAGCTTTTCCCATGAGCTTTTAAGCGTCCCATGGGCATACTCTCTCATGGGACGCATATACTATTCTTGGGACGCTTGTATTTCTTGGGACGCTTAAAAGTCCATGGGACGGATAAAGTCCATGGGCGCATAACGTTGAAATAAAAACCAATTTAACAATTTTAAAATTTTAAGTAATTCCTTCACTTCGCGCCTTTTCTCTATCAACTCCAATCTCGGCTGCTTTATCTCCTACATATTCAAATAGAGTAGTTGGCGATGTTATGAAGAATTAATAAATTCTGTATATTAATTGAAAAAAATAATTATTATTTTGGAGAAATTTTTCTCCGCTTTTGATTTTTGTTTGAAAATGTTAAATATAAAAATTCATTTTTTAATTTTCAATTTTTAAAATTTAAAAATTGAAATATAAATTTATTTTAATTTTTAAAAAATATTTTTTAAAATTTGTGCCACCGTTGGTGATAATTTTTAAAATTTAAATTTTATTTTTTTCTCATGTTGCATTTATTTAAATCTACAAATTTAAGAATAAAACAAAGTTTTGTTTAATTGTTGGATTTTTTAAAATTTTTAATTATTGAATATTTAAAAAATATAATATAGTCAATGAATTTTACATGAAGCGCTTGTAAAAATCATAGGATATTGTCAATAATTGAAGCGATTGATAATAGACAGGCATGCTGGTCGCACGCTAAAGATTGGATATACATACATATACATGGATATACATACACATCAGGGATGGATTCCGCTATCCACAGAATTCTGCCCTTTTTTGGCCTTTCCGATTCCGCCATCCGTCCGCCACTTTTTATTTTATCCTGCTTACTTACACTTCCGCCTTCAATTTTAAAAATTGAAAATTATCCAATTCTAAATAGTACAAAATTTAGTTTCAAAATAAATTTTATTCTTCGTTAAAAATATATTTAAAATGCATTAAATTAAAAATCTTTATTTTTATTAACTTATATCTACAGCTGTTCGCAACTGTACAGGTTATAAAATTTAAATCTATTTTAGAATTGTAGGATACCTACAGCCGTGCTAAAAATCGGATCCATTTCAATAATTTTTAAAATTTTTTTAAAATTTTAAATCCGGAACTGTCAATTCCGTAAGTATCGTCCGCAATTGTCGTCAAAGTTTCCAGTTCCGCATTAGTCGTAAAGCCTGTCTATAAGGAAGAATTTTTTAAAATTCAATATTAAGAGGAAGTAAAATACGTGGATATCATAAAGATTATCGATTCAAAATCTATATACATGTATATAGATATCCATCTATATACATGGATATCTACATATATACATGGATATCTATATATATGGATATCTATATACATGGATATACATAATATTGGATATACATACATATATATTTATTATAGGGGCATGAAGTGCCGCTGCATGAATCCTTTTCAATTACAAGCGCTGCGCATCTCCTTCACTATACAACAGCACTCTTAATTTTCAGATACTCCGCCCTGGCATGGCCAAAAGTTGGGGAAATAAAAGTGAATTTAATATAGCAATAATGCATCAGTTTTTAATTTAATTAACTTTTTTAAATTTTTATAGTTGACAAATTAAATATTAAAATGCTTTTGCGCATTTTTATTTATATTTTGTGTTTGAAATTTGTAAATTGCGAATATGGAGGCCATGTGAACTGGAATCAAGATAGCGATGCTAGACCCTATCCCCCTATGCATCATGTTAATGTGCATGATGGCGGATATGTAAACCATGATGGAAACAATGATGACTTTGGTTTTACTGGAGCTGTTCATCATGATAATTTACCTCTCCATGGACAGAATTTTTATATTCAAGACCATTTCCCAAGTAATGTTGGTGGATATGGAAACAATGCTGATTATAATTTAAATCAAGTTAATCAACAATTTGCTAATCTCCATCCATTTATGAACCAAAACTTCGATGGACAACATCCTCCTATGCATAATTATGGTCACACAAAAACAAGTGGAGGAAGAAAAAACCAGTCAAGTAACGCGTCTTCTTCGAGGTCCCGTGGGAAAAGGACCAGAAAGACCGATTCGACATCGGAAGGGTTAGGAAATCAAGGCGAAGGACAAGGTGGTGAGAATGTACAAGGTGGAGGAAATATGCCACTCTCAGTTGATCCGAATGAACTAAAACAATACAGAGTGGAAATTTATCTAAAACGATGTATGTTGGATAAAAATTAACTCTGCATAATATACATTATATCAATAATTTTATCTTTTTAGTCGATGGCGGTACTGTGTTACTTCTCGAACCTTGGACGGAAGTACTTAGACATAGGAAGGAAATACAAGAAATAGTTCATGAAAAGTATTCAACCATAAATATTGAAAAAGTTGTCAAAGCTTTGAAAATTGCTGATGTGACTTGTGAGAATTTTCTACATATTAATCTAATTTTTTCTTATACTATTTTGCCAAATTTTTTTTGCAAATTAAACTAAATAATTTATCTAGACCGTCAAGTTGAAGACATTGAAAATCATAAAAAAGATCCTGAGTTATTTGGAAACGTTAAATTTAGAAGAAGTTCTGGTAAACTGGAGGCGGCTGCGGGTCAAACAATGACTACAAAGGAATTGGCTGACCAAATTGCCGATTGGAGTAACAAAGGGGAAAAAATTAGTAATTGGATGGTTCAAGGAAAAGATTATGAGAATGCAAAATTTGAGCCTCTATTTGATGGTCACATAATGGTTGTGCTTCACGATCTTGACGGGATAGAGAGATTTAGAAGTGGGTGTTTATCATGAACATTATAATTAAGTAAACATGAAAGACGTACGCGTAAACAACATACTTTCGGATTTATATAGACTAAAATCCACACTAATCAAAACTAATACATCCAAGTTATTAAATATTTAATCTTTTTAAGTTCATTTTACATTGGAACGCCTAAACCTTTTTGATTCGGTTAACAAGAAGAATTATTTTGTTATTGAAGATAATGAAGAATTGGTTATCATGCCTGAAGAAAATTTTTGGAATAAAGGAGATCCTGTACGTGGTACAAGATGGAGGGATGACACATTTTATCCACAACATGGAGGAATGGGGGTAAAAGATTTTTTTGATAATAGTTTGGATGTTAGATCCATAATATACTCAAATCTTAAAATTCAGCTTTCCATAAGTTTCTCATTATTCAGCGAAAAACTACAGGCTAAATTCAATTTAATAAGTAAAAAATAGGGTTGCTCACGACCGGTTTTAAAACCGAAAATTTTGATAGTTTTTGCTAAAAATTAACCGATTTTACAAAATTTAAAAAACCGAAAACTGAAAACTTTTGAAAATGAGTGATTTTATTAAAGATTCCCCCAAAATAAAACCGGTATTTGTCTAAAACTCAAAACCGAAAACCGATTTTTAGAATTTGGATTAACCGAAAACCGGGGGTATAAAAGTAAAAATGGCAAAAATTCGGCGAAGGAGGCCCTCCTGATACACCTTATAATAGATTTAATATTTAAACAGGTATATACTCGCCCATTAACACTGTATCAAATCCTTAACATTGCTTACTACAATGTAATTGATGGCCGTACTTCCGACGATGAACCAATACCCTTCAAATGTCGTCATTTTGGCTACGAATTCATAACGGCTATTGCTGCTGATGAATTTAAAGGAGGATTGCTTGGATATAAAAATTGGCCTGAAAATATTACTTTTATGGACAATCAAGTTACAGCAAAGGAACGTATAACAAAGCCGCAATACCCTACTGCTTTTGAACACTCATTTGATAAATTGACGGAACTTGCATACTTGTAAGCGAATAGTTTTGATGTATTAATCTCTATAAATTTTCAAAATTTAGCAATGATTACGACAACAACAAATATACGCAAGCTATTCCTATTATTCCTCCAAACCATTAAAGAAGAATTAGAGGGAAGCTCAAAAAGGACGGACTCTAAGGAAAAACCTTTGAGCCTTCAAGTTTTCGTTTTTCTTTTTGTTTTCTTTTTCGTTTCCATTATATTGGAGTATGGGATCTGAGTTGATGAAAAATTTTTTTCGTAGACTTGGTCTATTTTAAAGGAAATACAGTGAAGTTTTTGGAAAACTAAATGACTTCTCTGGTTTCCTCAAACGGTGAAGACCTCTATTTCTCCACCGTTTGTGGAAACCAGAGTGTGAAGGGGTCTAAGGTTGGGAAAACCTTAAAGTAAAAACTTTGTTTGGAAAAACCCCTTTTTCTCCCAAAAGGAGAAGACCTCCTTTTTCTTTCAACTAGAGAAGACTTATCCCAAACTGACATTGGAGGGACTTCTCCCAAATGAAGGAGACTTCTTCTCTCAGACGAGAATACTTCGTATGATAACTCTCTCAAAAGACCTAAGACACTATAGAAGAGCTATCTCTGTTATTCCTCCAAAACCAGTAGGAACCCTCACTCCAATATAATTTTTTAAAGTTATTCATTTCGGCACCTTTTTATCATTCTTATTTAATATGTAAAGCATATAGCTGTTTATTTCCTAAGGCTGTGAAGTAGACGCTTTGGTGTAATGGATAACACTTCAGTCCGGTCTACTGATGTTGCTGGTTCGCACCCAGCCGCCGACTAAACTTTTTCTCAAGCAAAGGAGAAAATAGCTATAGCCAGCTGCTTTACTATATTTATATCTACCACTAGCTTTTAAATACCTTTGGAAAGTGTTCATATAAAAAAATTTTTCGTAAACTTGGTCTATTTTAAAGGAAACCATTATTATTAAAATCCCAAAAAGTCTTCGCAAAAAATTCCCAAAAATTAACTCAGTTCTGAGTCCCAACTTGTCTATCGTAAATAGCTTTTTATATTTTTTAACCATTATTTTTGACCCTCGAATCCATTTTTATCACAGGTATTTCTTTTATATATTCTCACGATTTTGATAAAGCATTTTAAAAATTACTATTTGTATTACTTTACTTTTAGATTGTTCTAGCGGGCAGGGTGATTCTTTCTAAATCACCAAAAGGGGACATGATTTCTCAAAAGGAAGTAAAGAGATAATATGCCTTAAAGAAATTAAACTAAAGATTTTTACCAGATTTTCGGAGGCGACGTTAAACAAGCTTGTCCTTCTTAAGCGCCGGTGATGACGAATACTTGGGCATGCACATAATTATACAGGGCTTTTAATTCAATAACACTAATGAAAGGGGGGGTAATCAACTGATAGGTTTTCCTAGAGTAATCAACTGATAGGTTGACAGTTTGGCGCGAATACCAACTAAAAGTATCAATTACTTAGTAAATTGAAAAATAAGCATTTAAAAAAATACTCTAAGTATTTCTTTTTCAACTCCATTCAATAATTTTATACTTGATAAAAAATTTAAAATATATAAATAACTGATAAAGTTCTCAAATATATTTCATGTAAATAGGTGGGTAACAACATTTGACTGGGCTAAATGTAAAGATAAAAACCAGTAAAAACCCATAATTTTGGTAATTCATTTTCTGTGAAATATTCAATTAGCTAACCATTCTAAAACGCAATCTATTCCAAAAGGTCTCAATTTGTTGGATATTTGCACCAGTCTATAAACTTTGCGGATTTTATAATACTAAGCGAATTAAGGGCTTGAAACAACCATAGAAAATCCTAAATTTATAATTTCAATTCAATCTCGATTATGAAATATAAAATAAAACTAAGATAGAAAGGTCAACACATAGTGTTAATCCAGCTTACTCTCATGGACCAAATGAAACTGTCTGAGTAGGAGACGTCTTTTGGTGTTTCGACTTATGCCTCTCACATGTTAGAATTAGCTTCGGCATTACCCAGTGTAAAGGTTTCAGATATAAGTCAAAGTATACGGTTTAAACTAAATTATAAGGTCTTCTCCAGCAATAGGCATATAGCGGTAAATAACAATATGATTTCCAAATAATATTTAAAAAAGAATACAACGAAAAGCAATCGGCAAAGGGCATTATTTCAGCATATAGTCAACAAAAGAGGCGCATGTAAAAATCACAAGATATTGACAATAATAAATGCGCGGCAGGTAGTAAACAAGCATGATAGACATATGATTGATAGATAGACGCATGATTGATGATTGAGCGTTTAATTTTTTAATTTCTTACTTTAATATATCTAATTTATGTTTTTCTTTTAAAAAATATTTTTTAAATATAGTAAGAGCGAGGTAAAAGTTTAATCCCGGGCAGGCCTCGATCCTGCGACCTCCTGGCAGTTATTGCTAGGCGCTTTCGCTCACCACGTACAGGTGCTCTACCAACTGAGCTACCGAGACATTCTCTTTTAATAGATCATAAACCCCCGCCTAGAGAGCGTTTTAAATGCTAGCCAGCGAGCTTTCTCTCTTTCTCTTCCTTACAATATTAATTAATTTTGGAATTTGAAACTTTAATCCTGAATAGTATTTTTAATCTAAACAAATCCTTTAATTTTACTCTTTAATTAAACTAATTGACTCATCCAAGGGGTGTATAGGAGGACTGGGCAAAATCTAGGAATAAATCTCTCTAAGGGACTTTGGAGGAGACACTCTATCAAACGGAGGAGCCCATGGGAAATATCTCTTCGATGGCAGTGTTACGAAGGAAAATTTTCTATCTAGCTGTATATTGAAGAATCCGATATTGTTGAACCTCAAATTTATTTTTAAAATTTTTTTCCTCAGTTTTGTTTTAATTAATATTTACCGAACAGAATAACCGACCGAAAAATCCTCGGTTCTTCGGCTCGGTTCTGTCCAGACCACAACCCTAATCCACAGAAAATCTGAAGATATACACCAGATTTATTGCTTTATTAGCGCCTCAGACAAAAAATTTTAAAATCATCAACTCATAAACGGATCAGTTAAAAAAAGCTGGAAGTATGACCAGATATAAATCCTTTTTATCTATAAGCTTACTTTGGCAATTACAATTAACCCATCATCGGGTTGGATGGTGGCACAGGCGGTTGTGCTTCGGTTTGGGCGTTACCATGATGGTTCTAGTCCATCTCACATTCAATGAATTTTCCACAGGATGAACATGAATAGTATAATAAATGTGAAAAAAGAAACACAGGTTTTAAGACGCAGGAAAAAATTTTTTGAATGTCTTATTGCCTAGAAGACAGAATTCGTCAATTTGGCGCCAAAATTTCAAAATAAATCCAAATAGAAAATAACGGAAGTTTAAATCGGAAATCGAAAGAAAAAGTCATCGAAGATCGAAATTTCGAAACAGCTCTTAGTTGGTAAACTTCGAACTCAATTAAAGCGCTTTTAAAAATCAGGCGATACTATTAATAATAAATGCGAGGGATGTAATAAACAAACATGACCGACGCACGCAAGGGATAAGGATAGACAATGATAGCCAATTAATTATTTCCTTATGATAGACAATTAAATATTTCCTCCATTATAATAATCAATCTTAAAGCCAATTTAATATAAAATTCTGTTTAAATTAATTATGTCCTCACCCAAATAAGTTAATAAAATTTAACTTTAATCTAACTAAACATTTAAAAAATAAAAATATATTTTGAGGATTTTTAAATTTTCTAAGGATTTAATTAAATCCGATCCCTCTCAATTTAAAAAATCGCAATGATGTGCTTGTTGCTACATTAAAACCTATCTAACTGACATAATCATACTCTATAGGGTTGTTGGTTTGACCAAAATTGAAAGTTTAAAAGCGCAAAACATGCGATGCAGATTACGGTATCTAGATCGCCCCGATTTTTCGGTTTAAATCGCAAGATAGAATATAAGACAAAATGTCCGACATAATGTAAAGCAACTTATCTATCCAACAGAGATACCTGGGGTTACCCGAAACCCGGACCTTTTTAGACCCGAAACCCGACCCGGGAAATGATCGAAACCCCGAATCGAACCCCGACTTTGCCCATGAAACTTTTCACACTAAAAAGAGAAATCATTTCTCGGCATTAGATCTGTGTTGACCCGAAATCCGACAAACTTATTCCTCGACATGAGGCATTCCTGCTATCCAAGGAAAAGAAAAAACTGGATGGGTCTTGATTCTGAGAAATGCCGATGCAAGAGAGCCCTCCTGTTTACGCTAGACATGCAGAAAGCTTTGGCGGTCTTATAATATTAAGCGAATTAAGGGCTTAAGCAAACATAGAAAATCCTAAATTTAAAATTTAAATTCAATCTCGATTATGAAATATAAAATAAAGCAAGGTCCTATTGCATGTGATTTCCCTTGCCGAATTTCGCTGCCAAAATTATCTCTTGCTTATAGTTTAGAAGCTAAGGGCAGTCTGCCCAGCAGTCTTTAATTAGAGGCTATGTATAATGCAGTTAGAGAAATTTACAGACTTACGCGCATGTCAGGGCATTCTCCGCCTCGATGGAAATGTTTGCCAAGGCTGCGTGTCCATATAAATAGTTGTTGAATCCCCAGCAAAAGGCAGTTTATATTTTTTTAATTTTTAATTTCTCTTAAATATATGTTTACTTAATTTAATTTTCTTTAATTAAATCTTTATAGTTGACAATTTAAATATTAAAATGCTTTTACGCAATTTAATTTTTATTTTTTGGTTAAAATTTGCAAGTTGCGGTCATGGAAGCGCTGGTCCCGGAAGCGCTGATTATGGAAACTATGGATACATGGATGCAAACGGATACTGGGTCGAAGGAGGGGTTCCAAATGGGCAAGGCTTTCCAAATAGTGTAGATGGAAGCAATGCTTGGAACCAAGGAGTTACTCAACATCATGACAATTTTTATCACCTTGTTGGACATAATCCTATACAAGGCCATGCCCCAAGTAATGTTTATGGAAACACTGACTGGAACCAAGATGAAGGCAATTCTAATCATAATTTTGATGGATTTACTCAACAATTTGGAAACTTAAATCTCCATGGTTATGATCCAAGTAATGTAGAGGCTGGAGGATATGAACACCATATTCCTATACACCACTATGGTCATTCGAGAACAGGTGGAGGAAGAAAGAAGCATTCGGGTGGCGCTTCATCTTCGAGTTCCCATGGAAGGAGAATTAGAAAGAATAATACGCCACCGGAAGGGTTGGGCAATACAGAAGAAGGAGATGAGGGGGTACAAGAGGAAGAAAGACAACATATGCCGCTCTCGATTGATCCGAATGAGGAGAAAACTTACAGAGTCGAAATTTATCTTAAACGATGTATGTGAAATATAAAATAATATTTTTGCATAATATAAAGTATATCAATTAATTATTATTTTTAGTCGATGGCGGTACTGTGTTACTCCTTGAACCTTGGGGAGACCAGGAAAAGTATTCAACAATAAACATAGAAAAAGTCTTGTCAACTTTGGGTATTGCCGACGTTGAATGTAAGAATTTTTATTCTAATCGAAATTTAATTATTTTTGTTCAGACCAGCCAGTTGAAGATATTGAAAATCACATAAAGGATGCTGAGCTCTATGGAAAGGCTAAGTTTCTTGAGAGATCAAGTAAACTGAGAGCCAATGCGCATCGTGTAATTACTATAAAGAATTTAGCTAATCGCATCGCTGATTTCTATAACGACAGCGGAAGAGTTAGTAATTGGATGATTGAAGGAAAAGCGTATCAGAATGAAATATTTGAGCCTCTATTTGATGGTCACATAATGGTTTTGCTTCACGATCTTGAGGACGGGATAGAGAAATTTAGAAGTTGGTATTTATCATGAATATTTTAGTTAAATAAACAGTGAAGACGTAAGCGTAAACAACATTCTTTCGGATTTATAGTTATCTAAAACCCACACTAAAAACCCTAATACATCCAAGTTATTAAATATCTAATCCTTTTCAGTTCATTTTACAATGGACCGCATAAACCTCTTTGATTCGGTTAACAAGAAGAATTATTTTGTTATTCCACATGAGGGAGAGTTGGTTATTATGCCTGAAGAGAATGTTTGGGTAAAAGGAGATCCTGTACGAGGTACAAAATGGAGGGATGACACATTTTATTCGCAAAAGATAACTTTACGAGGTACAAGACGGATAAATGAACTTAAGGTAAAAGATCAGCTTTGTATAAGTTTGGATTCTTTAATCAGGGCTGTTTAGCGCTGCAAGCAAAAATGCATTGTTTTAAAGTTACTTGGGGCAGGGTTCGATCTAATTTTGCTTGTTTGCAGCACATTGTCGGGGTCGGTGTCAGAGTACAACACTACTTATAAGACACACCTGGCGATAGATACACCTTAATTTACTATGTATTTCGAAAAGGGTGTCTAATTTTGCTTGATATCCCGAGGCAGATATAATTGACTTAGCTAATAATAAGTATAAAATCCTCTCCGCTCACATGCATATATCGTTTGTGATTAATTTATTATACTCTAAAAGGTCCATACTCGTCCATTAACTTTGTATCAACTCCTCAACCTTGCTTACTACAAAGTAAATCCTTTCGGGGATAAACCAACACCCTTCAAATGTGGTCATTTTGGTTACGAATTCATAATGGCTATTGCTGCAGATGAATTTAAAATAATTTTGCTTGAATATGGAAATTGGCCTGAAAATATTCGTTTTATAGACGATCAACTTAAAGAAAAAAAGGAGGGAAATGAAACTGCTTTTTACCATTCATCGGAAAAACTGACGGAACTTGCACATTTGTAAGCTTAACTATAAAATTTTAATTAGTGAGTCTTTCGATCGGGGGTGGGGGAAATTTAAGAAAATTTTGGAAACCCGAACCCAGACTTTTTTCTCAGCTCCTGGTTTCCGTCAAAGTAAAAAATTTTACCTTCTAAATTATTTATGAAGCAGACCTCATAATAAGAATTACGCTATTGTGCTTATATATGAGTGTTTTAGTTATTATCTTGGAGTGTTTTAGAAATGTATCCGAAAATATTCGGCTTGGATATCTGGCCTGGATATCTTAGGGATTCTACTTGGACTTGGATATCTGAGGGATTCCCAGGAATGTGACATCTCTGGGTTACTCAAATTTTCCATGGAAGATTGCCTAAGCAAATCTACTCTATAAACTTTGTTTCTTTATAAATAAAATTTAGCATTGACTACTACAATGATGTCTATACAAAGTCTATTCGTATAGTTCCACCAAACGAGTAGAGGAGGATTAGAAGGAAACAAAAAAGTGGATTGTCTGCTGAAGAAAAAAACTACAACCCCCAAATTTTTCTTTTTTTCCTTTCTAGATTTAAACAAAGGTGCTGAAATTATTTAAAATTAGGGTATTGAATAACTAAAAAAGAAAGAATTTAATAGACCGGAGTAGACTTCTCCCAAACGAACTTCGGAAAGACTCTCTAAAACGGAGTAGAAACCTTTATCTTCGAGAAAGAGAAGACTTCTCCCAAACGGGAATACCATGACCCTCTCTCAGACGAATTGACTCCTTTTCTCTAAATTTTCTTTCACATAGACTAGATTTCTCCCAAACGAGCTTCGGAGAGCCCTATCCCAGAGATGTAGACTCACTTCTCCGAGCCAGAGTTGACTTCTTCCGAACGGAAATTGCACTACCCTTCTCTTAAACGGATAGATCTCTTTTTTAACAAACAAAAGAAACATCGGGAAAATTTTCGATGACAACATTACATAAAAAACTTTCAAATTCCCCGACTTTTAGAAATGTTTAAATTAGTTAAATTGAAAATTTTTAAAAATTATGTATTTTACAATTTTTAAATTTAAATATTTCGGCACCATTTACTATTCTTCTGTCATATTTGTATTTTTTTCAAATTTGGAATTGTGATTTCCAAATTGTTTATAGTCAATTTGCTTTTTTATGTATAATTTTTCTTTCTATCTAGCTGTAGACTAAAGAATCCGATATTGTTGACCCTCGGATTTATTATTCATTAATCGGCTTATATTCCCCCGATTTTGATAAAGCATTTAACAAATTTTAGATTTTTTCCGAGTAATATAACGGTCCTGAAACGCATTAGCACACTTTCCCCCATATAAACTTTATCAAATGTTCATCGTATTCCCGCCAAGAATGTGGACCAGCTTAGATACAAATAATAACAAATCCGCAGATATATCCGGATCGGATGGATATTGATAATGTTTTTTAAATAGTGTTTTAGTAAAAAAGTCATGTTAACATTTGGAATAGCTAATGTGAACATTTGCACATTTTTATTTCATCGAATCTTTTTTTAATTTTCTTCAGATCATCTAGTTAAAGACATTGAAAATTTATGTAAAGGTTAGGTATACTGCGAGCAAATGCGCATCATGTAATTACTACAGAGAAATTAGCCTATGCATCTCTGCTTTTTATAACGAACACCAAAGCATTGTGATTGGATGGTTGAAGGAAAAGCGTATCAGAATCCAACATTTGAGCCTCTATTTGATGGTCATATAATGGTTCTGCTTTATGATTTTGGCGAGGAAGGAAGAGATTATAACAATCTAATCTTTATGATTTATAACAATCTAAAATCCACACTAAACAAATTTTTTCATAGTTCAATTTATAATTGAAGCAATCAAGACTTTCAAGTTAATTTTAAAATAAATTTTTTGAATAAATACTAGGTGTTATAATACTAGGTGTTATATAGACTTACTAGGTGTATTCATATATGAAATAAATTAATTTTAATATTTTTAAATAAATTTTAAATTTTTTAACAAAATTTTATTTTTTAAAAATTAAAGAAATTTTTTATTAAAATTATTATTTTATTCTAAAACACATAACAAAATACAATTTTTCGGTGCATTATATAATAAAAAATATTTACTGATAAAAAGTGGAATTTAGTTAAAATTTAGAGAAAATGTAAAAATGTTTATATTTTTTCTTGATATATTTTTATTATGTCTGTCTATATGATAAAAATATAATAAATAAAAACCAAATAATTAAATAATTAAATAATAAAATAAATAATTAAAATCTATATAATAAAAACCACATAATCCTTTAATTTAAAACTAATTTAAAAATTTTTTTATAAATTATAAGGTTCATGTCCTTTATATTCCTCCCGCAAAAATAAAAATTATATTTTTATATATTAAGTCGTTCAATAATTTCAGACGCGATTTTAATGAAGGGCGGGGTGGCTCAGATACTTGATTTATTTGCTGCAAAGTGGGTAAAAATGGCTTGATGTTGATTCTTCTTTATAATTTATAGAATTAAGGGATTGAAACAACCATAGAAAATCCTAAATTTATAATTTCAATTCAATCTCGATTATGAAATATAAAATAAAACAAAGATAGAAAAGTCAACACAGGAAATCGTACATAAATGAACGTATATAAGGTTTAAATAAATTTATTAGTGTAAAAAGATGCACTTCCTGTAAAATTTAATAAAAATTTATTAATGAAAATTGCTTTAATTTGCCGCCTTTTCATATGTCGTAGTCATGAGAATCCCTGATTGCATGTGTTTGCCTTTTGCGAATTGCCCAGCAGCTTTAATTAGGGGCTATGTATAATGCGGTTAGAGAAATTTACAGACTTACGCGCATGTCAGGGCAGGCTCCGCCTCGATGGACATGTTTGCCAAGGCTGCGTGTCCATATAAATAGCTGTTGAATCCCCAGCAACAGGCAGTTTATAATTTTAAAAATTTTTAATTTCTCTTAAATATTATATAAGCAAGCATTCACCCAAGCACTCACACATCGCCCTATCTAGCTAAAAGTTGGGGAAATAATAGCGAATTAAAAAATAAAGCATCATTTTTTAAATAAAAGCTCCCTCAGCTTTTGTGGAGCTGAGTAAGCGATACTTTTAAGCCTTTTACCTACAGATTTTACCTACAAATTATAGTGCTAAACTATCATATATGCTCGAATAATTGTAATTAGTATTCCAATCTTTCGTTGGAGGATGGGGGGATTTAATAGAGGCGGGGTAATTATTTAACATTATTTTAGCAAGTGTAATTATAACTACATTATTACTTTATTATTTCCTCATCAGTGTAAAGGGGAATTATCCGAGGGTAGAGGAATTATACAATTTTGAAATTCATCAGCTGGGGATATATGTATCACTTGGGATTATTATATCACTTGGAATTATTGGTTCAACCCATCCCCGGCATGAGGAAATATTCGGGGGGGGGGGGGGAGGAATTAACCCCCCCCCCCCAATTTCCCATCATTCAAGGATGGGGAATTAATACAAAAATAAGATTTTAATTTTTTTATTTTAATTCATTCAACCTCTGTTTGATGCGAGTATTAAATATAAAGTATTTGAGGGACTACATATAATTATTTAAGTAAATACGCTATAGAAATATTTTTCACTATTGTTTCTCTCAATGTTTTAATAAAACGTTTAGAGATGAATTTGTTAAACCAAACAATTTTGTCACTTAATCCTATCACGCCTTTCATTCTCTTTTACCTTATATGTCTGATCCGAAGCGGACATGGATCTATCCATTTTGTTGGCGAACATGAAGGTGGGCAAGGCCGACACAGTGGAAGTCCGCATGTGGCTGGAGAAGGAACTAGCTCTGGTGGCGGACAAGGAAGTGGGCATCCGTTCTCAATTGATCCGTCTGAGCCAAAACAATACAAAGTGGAAATTTATTTAAAACGATGTAATTATTTTTCATTGGTTCAAAAAATCGGATTCTATGAGTTCAAGGAAAGCTTTTTGCGTCCATAAATTAGTGACGCATAAAAGCTTATAGGAATCAAGCCCTATATTAAAGCCCGATTTATATTAAACTTTATATGATTTTCTAGTTGATGGCGGAACAGTTTTGCTTTTGAAAAAGTTGCCTGGACATTATTTATATTCAACCCGAAATATTGAGAAAGTTGTAGGTGAATTAGGAATAGCCAATGTTAAATGTAAGAATGTTAATTATTTTCTTGTCTCAATTATTAAATATTTTTAGACAGTCCAAGTATGGATGAGGATTTTACAAAGTCGGTGTATGGAAATATTCAATTTTTGAAACGTTCAGAAGTGTTGAATGTTAACGAAGGTGAAGAAATGAGTACATTAGAGTTGGTAGAAAAGATTGCTGAATCAGAAATGGAAGGGAAAAATAAAGGAACCCCCAGCTGTTTACCTCTTTTTGGATGCGGATACAAACCCAAAGCTAAATGGATGTTGCCTGGTAGTAAAGTAAAAAATCCGACATATGAACCTCTATTTGATGGTCATTTAATTGCCGTGCTTCGCGAACTTGTAAATGGACACTATTTGGAAAGATTCCGCAGTAAGTACTTTTGTCTCGCTGTTTAATTTATTAAATCTGAGATAAGATTCCACAAACTTCCCAGGAATAAGAGGATGTTGAATAAATTTAATTTCATATCCGGGATTATGAGCGTGATTAAGAATGAAAACGGAGATATCGAGGGATAATTTTAAATTAAACCTCCGCAACCGCAATTAAGTCCTCAAATAAAAAATCACACAATTCATTCTCCCATAGTCCGCATTGCAATATTGCGTCCAGTCCTGATTTATAGGGCTTATGAGGATATCAAGTAAATATCGGCGTAATATTCCCTCAAATTCTCAATCCTGCAAGGAGTATTTGCAACTGAATTTAAAGTCTGCTCGTCTATTAAATAGTCGCGTTAAGTTAAAAGTAGGGTTGTTCGCCGTCTCCGAAAGTTGGGGAATTTAAGTTTTTTTGAAAATTCCACTGTTTCCCCGAAAATCATTCACGTGGCACCCCCCCCCCCCGTCGGGGTACAACCCTAGTTTGAAAAAATACTTATTGATGAATGATTATATAAGGTCTTTCTGTTTGATAATATACTGTACTTATCAAGGGCTATCAGTAATACAGAGTTACTAAAGTATAGCCAAAATTTTTCAGTTCATTTTACAATGGAACGCTTAAACATTTTCGATACAGTCAACAGGAAAAATTATTTTGTTATTCCAAATAACCGAGAATTGGTTATAATACCTGAAGAAAATGTGTGGCATAAAGGAGATTCTGTACGTGGTGCACGATGGAGGGATGACAAATTTTATTCAGAACAAGGAGAAATTGAGGTAACAGATCAGCTGATTATATAACCTCAACAGATAATAAACTTCAATTTACGATTAGTTCTAAAAATCTAAATCTTTCGATAGCCGAGACTCTTGTCCGGGATCTTGATTCGGACCTATCTCCAACTATTGTTTTTGAATGTGTGTAGACTGACTGGCTGGGGATAATAACGGGGATAATAATAATAACTGACTGGGGATAATAACGCCTAACATATGTATAACACACTAAGGCTGTCTATACTAAGGACATATCCAACACTAACTTAACGTATCCCAAAAAGGTATTCACTCGTCCATTAACATTGTTTCAAATCCTCAACATTGCTTACTACAAAGTAATTGCTGGTCGTACTTCTGAGGATTCAATCCCTTTTAAATGTCGCCATTTCGTGTATGAATTTGTCACAGCTATTGCTGCAGAACAATTTAAAGCAGGATTGCTTGAATTTGAAAATTGGCCTGAAAATATTCGTTCTATGGACAATCAAATTGCGCAAAGCAACGGAGATACTACTGCTTTTGAAAAGTCATCGGAAAAACTGGAGGAACTTCAAAATTTGTAAGCTAAACTAAACTCATTAAATTGGACATCATTATAAGAGGCGCAAATGAGTTTATAAAAATTACATCTACCAATGTCGATACGAAAGGTTCGACCTTTCCGATAGTATTTTTCAGCATTTAGTTATCGTATTACGGATCATAGTAATGTACAGAATAGGAATACTGTATTTAGAGGACTAGTTTAAACCTCAATGCCATAGGTCTTTTAGGCCCTTAGTCATTAAGGCAGACCCTCTTAATTTGCTTCTCTTTTGAATCTTGTAAATTTAGTAATGACTACGAAAACGATGACTATACAAAAGCTATCACAATTATTCCACCAAACCCTTTAAAGAAGCATTAGAAGAGAACCAAAAGTTGGAATGGCTGTTGAAAGATACTTTCGAAAACTTCAAATTTTTTCCTTCCTTTCTATGTAGCTTTAGATAGAGTGCCGAAATAGTTTAAAAGTAGAAATTTTGGGCTAAGAAAGAGACCATTTTTTGTAGACCATCTTATTGTAGAGGAAATACATTGAGGTCCTCCCACCTCCTAACGTCTCCTCAGTGGATTCCTCCCAAACACCCTCTTTTCTCTCAAACAGAAAGACCTTGGAGGAGAGAGAGTCGAGAGAGAAAGGAGGAGAGAGTGAGATGAAGAGAGAGGTATAAAGGAGACACGTCTGGAGGAGAAAGAGGTGTCACGTATCGAACGATACGTTGGAAGAGATATCAATCAAACAAAACTTGGAGAAGACTCTCTTAAACGGACCTTGAAAGAGACCCCTATCAAACAAAGGGGACCTCTGGAAAAATTTTCGATAGCAGAGTTCATAAAATTATATATTTCGGCACAAGTTTATTAGTGTTTGGCATGGTAAAGTAATAGACTAGTAAGTCATACGAACGGTAATTTCAATCCCGAACGATAACATTGCCATTTGCCGAACACTATTTACATTTTTATGATTTTTTTCGTATTTTATATTTTTTACTGAACCAGACAAGATTTTGTAGACATAATGCTACGTCTATATAAAAAACGCTCTCGTTTTCCGCCGAAAATATTATGAAAAAATTAGAGAGAAAATTGAGAGAACAGCGCCTTGAGAGTAGTGATGTCAAAGTTCCAAAATTTCTCTTGAACTAGTTCCAGTTGCAGAACTAGTTCCAAAGCTAGTTCCAGTCATCGATAGTTCCGTAGTCCAGTTACAAGCTAGTTCCAGGCATTTACTAGTTCCGTAGTTATAGTTCCAAACTAGTTCCAGATAATCGTTAGTTCCGTAGTTCTAGTACTGGAACTGTAACTAGAACTAATTAGTTCCGGAACTGGAACTTTGACATCACTGCTTGAGAGAACCGGAAATTGCGATAACAGCGTTTTCCGCAAGAGTTTTCCGCAGGCAGAAAACGCTATTTTTATGTAAACACTTTTAGCGTTTACCGCCAGCGTTTGCCGCTAAACTTCAGCGTTTTTTACTTAGACGTAGCATAACACTTGTGATTTCCAAATTGTTCATATTCACTTAGCTTTTGTATATAATCTTCCCTCTATTTAGCTGTAGTTTGAAGAATCCGATATTGTTGACCCTCGGATTTATTTTTTATCAATCGGCTTATATTCCCCCGATTTTGATAAAGCATTTTTAAAAATTTTTGTTTTATTTAATTATTATTTTTGATTAATATAATGGCCAAAAAGCCGGAATTGAAGAGTATATTTGGTGTTGGGATAGAGAGGAAAAGGAGAGCTTGTTGGTCAAACAATTTCTCATCTAACTATTCCCATGATTTTTGGAATGTTCCATACCCAACCATTGATGGAATAGTTACAGTTCCGGAGTTGGAACCAGGGCTGATCGAAATAAAAATATTTTTTATTTCGAATCGAAACGAAATAAAGAAATTCCTATTTCGTTTCGGAGCGAAACGAAACGAAATGAGCTTGTTTCGGACGAAACGAAACGAAATAAACGAAATAAAATAAAAATTAAAAAATTTTTATTTTTCAGTTCAAAAAGGCTTTTTATCGATATTTAAATCATAGATATGCACCCCAAGAGCTAGATGCGTGACAAAAGCAACCCAGAAAGACGAGTGAGTCCTATAGATCTGCCGATATCCCCATTAATCCCCTTAAATCGACATATATCCGCCTTAATCCTCCGATATCCTATTAAAATCCATCGATATATCCAAATTACTTTGGAGTATACCACTTTAGATATCGATCAAGACGAATATTAAGAGGGATAGATATCTTCTATATCCCTTGCGATATCTTGTATATCCCCCTCCCAAAACCACCTATATTCACTTAATCCATAAAATCCAAATATACACAAAATCCACCTAAGTATATCCCCTTAATCTCGCCCATACCACAATATCACCTTAATCTTGCCAAATCTCAGCTCAATATCACTAATCCCTCGAGATCTCGGCTGTACTTTAGCCGGTGGCCCAATCAGAAACGGGTTAAATTATATACCATTCGATTCGTCTCGACGAGCTGAGTCGAATGACACCAAAATCAGCGAAATCCGACTTGTTTTGACAAAGTTATGCTCGTTTGTTTTAGCTCCTTACCTATGGCCTCCATGGATGTTCTTGCTGCTGCGGAGGAAGCCGGGCATGCCCATCACAGCGATAATTGGAATAGGATTAAGTTACGAGCCCAGACCCATCGCCCGTAGACTCCCCGCGAGGCGCGTGCCGCAAAACTCCGCGCGAAGCGCGGAGTTTTGCACAAGCGCCTCGCCGACGCCCCATAGGTTTATGTTGATAGTTTTTTGTGTTGTAACTTTGTATAAACTTGTTCAATCACGGTGATTTTGGTGACATTCGACTCAGCTCGTCGAGCTCTTTCGAATGAGTTATTATATGTGTAAAAAATTTTTAATTCCAGAAATCGACCATTTTGATCCTCGGTTTTTAGGGGCCTATATCTCGGTCCAATCAAGTCGGATTTCGTTGATTTTGGTGTCATTCGACTCAGCTCGACGAGCTCTTTCGAATGATCTATTATTTGCATTTTCAAATTTTTCGCCTCAAAAAAGTGCTTGGTCCCCCCTATGGTTTTTCGGTTTTCAAGGACCTATATCTCGGCTCGTAGGAATTTCCGCAAAAAAAGAGTGGTACCATTCGACTCAGCTCGCCGAGACGAATCGAATGGTATATAATTTGTCCCGTTTCTGAGTGGGCCACCGGCTAAAGTATATCCGAGATCTCTTTTAATCCACCGCACAAAGTAATAAAAATTTTAGTATAACTCCAATTTGGAGTACAACTCCAGCATATTTAAATCTAGGTTTCAAAAATTTTTATTATTTTTAGATCATAGAAATGAAGATTTCTGAATGGTAGGTTGGGCACGGAAGGCTGGTCTGCTCTAGCAAACCCCGTAAAAGCTTCCTTCCTTTTTAGCGCCGCAGGCGAAAATTTTTTGAATTTTGGAGCTCAAGAAGCAAAATTTCTTCCATTTTCAGCGCTGCAGGCGAAATTTTTTTAATTTTAGGCCGCTCATAAGACAGAAATCACTAAAAAATTAATGATTATTTCAATAAATTCCCGTCATTAGGGGTGCATTTTCTCACTTTTTTTTTGTTTCGTTTCGTCCGGAATTTTGTCTATTTCGTTTCGAAACGAAACGAAATAAATTTTTTTCTGTTTCGTTCCGAAACGAAACGAAATGGAAAAAAGGGCACGAAAGAGCGAAACGAAACGAAACGAAACGAAATTTCGATCAGCCCTGGTTGGAACCGATAAGTTCTAGTTCCGGAACTGGAACCGTGGAATTTGTTTCAAACAGGTTCCGGGGCTTGCCAGTTCCATGGTTAGTAGATCGATACCAGTCTGGAACTGGATTGGAACTGCTACTGAACCGGTTCTAGACTGGAAAATTCAAAAAGCAGTTCTAGAACTGAGACCGGTTTCAGAGAAATTTTGGGACTTTTCAATCACTGGACCCAACCGATTGTATGTATGAAAGCTATATTGAAGCATTTTTCTTATATTATCAGTATCAGCGTGAACTAACAAAAAGAATAAAATATTTTGTCCTTAACCAGCTCACCCCGTGTGTTGATCTAGGACATTAGAGTTTGATCAATTATATGATCAAAAAGACTCTGGTTGAAAGATCACTAGTTTCTCATCCCTGGTCTCACACCCCTATTTGAGAGACCTCGTTTGATTACCTCCTAGTTGAGAGACCCACAATATCTATCTAGGGTCTCTCAAGTGTCTAGAGGGTCACTTAAGCCAATAGTCTATCATCAACTAGTTGACCTTACACAACCAAAAGAACATCCTTAATCCACACTGGTCTCACACTCCTATTTGAGAAACCTTTAGTCATTTACCCCTTGTTGAGAGACCCCTAGTATCATATGTATAGGGAGTCTCATATGTGAGATAGCCCAAGTCCTTTCCTAGTTGAGAGACCCCTAGTCTCTCTCACCCTAGTTGACCTTACCTAACCAAAAGAAAATTTAAAATCTACAATTTAACGTTGAGAGACCCACAGTATCATATGTATAGGGAGTCTCATATATGAGATAGCCCAAGTCCTTCCCTAGTTGAGAGACACCTAGTCTCTCTCATCCTAGTTGACCTTCATAACCAAAGGAAAATTTAAAATCTACAATTTAACACCTCTTGTTTATCAATCATTCAAAAATGATGGCAAGACACAAAATAAGGAGGAAGAGCAAAAAAAGGGAGGAGCAGAACATTAAAATTAAATTCTCGACAATAAAATTAATTTTTGGGAGGAAGGAATATTTTTTGGGAGGTCACCTTTGGATTTAAAAAATTTCTCGTTGGCATCGTTCTCATTGTGCGCTCAAGTTCGTCTTTTCTAATAGGAGATACCGCCCCGAGGACACCGCACTGACCGGGCATTTACCATTGCCGCGTAGACATCCACCCCCAGAAAATTTTTTTTGAAATTTTTTTGAAAATTTTTAGAAAATTTTTTCGAAATTTCGCGAAATTTCGGAATTTCACGAAATTTCGGAATTTCGAAAAATTTACGAAATTTTCCGAAATTTCGTAATTTCCCGAAATTTCGAAATTTTTCGAAATTTCGGAATTTTCCGAAAATTTTTTAAAAATTTCTGAATTTTTTTCCAAAATTTCTGAAATCTTCCTGACGTGTGGACGAGTCTACGCTTTAAGTAAGGCAATGGAGCCCTTCTCACGGCCGGTTCTCTCGGAGCGGTAATTCCTTTACAATTAAAAAATCTTCATTTCTAAAATGGGTACATCTAAATATTGTTGCGCTTGTGGTTGTTGATTTAGGGTTATTTAAATTTAGTTAAGACAAAGCATTTTAATTGAGAAAATCAAGGGGAATGGAGTAAAAATTATTTTCGGAAATTTTCGAAATTTCGCAAAATTTTGCGAAATTTCGTAATTTCGTAATTTTACGAAATTTCGGAAAAATTCCGAAATTTCGGAAATTTCGGAAGACTTTCGAAATTTCGAAAGAATTTCGTAATTTCTCGAAATTTCGTAATTTTACGAAACTTACCAAAAATTTTTTCGAAATTCTCCGAAATTTCTCAAAAATTCAATAAATGACATTTGATCCCAGAATGGCAACTTTAGATAATTAAAAAATTATTTTTCCGCAAATTAAACATAATGCCAAAAATTCAAAAATGCGTTTAAAATTATTTTAAATTTATTTCCATTCCCCTTTTGGGCAGTCAAACAAAAAAATTTTGTTTTATCGGTGGTATTTATTTCTAAAGCTGCCTTTAAATTGTTTAATTTTTCGATTCCATTTTTTCCGAGTCCAGTTCCATAGAGCCAAATAAAGTTGTTTGACTTTCTCAGTAGCCAGAAAGCTCCTGAAATTTATTTTTAAATTTTAATAAATTTTAAAAAAATAAAGAGGATTTTAAATTTATTTTTATAATTTATATTTTTATACTGTGGAAACTCTCCACAATATTTTTTAAACTAAACTTTGAAAAAGAGAACGGATCGAGACGAGAGCTCGTTAAAAATCCTGTATATCGAAATAAAGAATTTTTCGAGGTCTAGCTTCACGTATGACAGCATTTTGGGGGTTTCGAGATTTTTCTAGATCTCGATTCTCGTATAACACTGCAGTCCGATCTCTACTCTCACTCAACGACCAAAATTTTGCTACGTAAGAGGAGAAGTGTCTTGGTGGGAGAGTCAACTAAGCCTAATTTACACTCCAAGATACAGAATGCTCTGACGTATGAGAGAATATGGCGCCCTAGGGAAGTGTTGTTTTTATAGAGACATTTATATCCCGATAAAACTTCTCCTCATTAGGACAACTCTCTCCTTAGTACGCTAGGACAGATGCTATCGCATAGGCCTTAGATAGCTCGTCACTCTTTTTATTGTGGTGTTTCAATTGCCAATCAAGATTATTTTATTATTAAAAATTCTTCAAACCTGGAAAGTGGAGTCAAGCTCCTCTGAGATGGCCTTGTAACGCTCCTTCTCGTGGACGAGTTCGTCTATATTAATTAAATGTCTCATAAATAAGACACTTGTTTGATTTTAAGTAAGCAACTCAACGTAGATCGAAGTTAACCAAGCAACGAATTTAATTAAATTCAACAATAAAATCAACAAAAAGACAAAATTTTATTTATTTTTCAAAATAACGTTCAAAAAACTGCATTATGCAGAAATGTATAAAATCACAAATTATTAAAAAAAAATTATTTTGGATTGCAATAAAAAATAAAAAAATTTTTTAATATAAAACTAGGATTAATTGTTAATATAATTATTAAATTTTCGAATTAAATTTTTAAAAATTGATAAAAAAAATATAAGGGGTTAAGGGCTGTTTAGAGCGGCATCTCAAGGGATATAGAGTTAGTAAAACCCAACGGGGCCATGCTCTGTATCGAGTCGTGGAAAGATTAGTGGTCTATATTATGATCGAAAGCATTCTAAGACGAATTCAAAGTTAAAGCGAAACTTCGAATCCGAAATCGAGGTTAAAGCGAGACTTCGAATCAGAAACAAAATCGAAGTCAAAGCGAAACTCCGAATCTGAAACGAATTCGAAATCGAATTTAGAGCGAAACTTCGAATCCGAAAGGAATTCGAAGCTAACGCAAAACTTCGAATCTGAAACTATTTCAAAATCGAAGTTAAAGCGAAACTTCGAATTGGAATACGAAATTTCGAAAACCTAGGTTGAATTTCGAATTCGATTCTGTTCGAAATTATTCGAACCCTAGTTCTACATTGCATTTTTATTGAGTACTCGTTAGCTTTGCATCCCTAGTCTTTCTACTAAAATTTTAGGAAGGAAATCAAAAATTAACGAAATGCCGCTAAACACACCACTTATTTCACACATCAAACAAAAAAAATTTTTTTGGTTAAATAAATTTTTAAATGCAAAAGTTTTCTCATCATTAAAACACTCCAAACACGTGTTAAAAATTTAATTTAGTTGTTAATCGAATGCAATTCTTGAACAAAATGATCAAGGTCCGATTGCATAAGCATATTCTTTTGACGCAAATCTTCGTAATCCACTGCAAAAACACACAGAAAATTTTAATTTAAAACATGTTAGAAAAATTAGAGGATGTTTAATACGAAATTTCGAATTCGAAATTTTTAATACGAAATTTCGAATTCAAGTCGAAATTTCGGATTCGAAATTTTTAATACGACATTCCGAATTCAAATCGAAATTTCGAATTCGAAATTTCAAACTCGAAATTTCGGATTCAAATCGAAATTTCGAATCTAAATTGAAATCGAAAGTTCTAATCAAAAATGAGTCGAAATTTCGAATTCGAGGTCAAATTGTGAATTTTGATTAAATATTAGTAAAAATACATATTAGGCTAAAGCACGACAAAGCACGAAAAAACTAGAAATTATAGATGCTCAAAAAGCTTTAAATTATTTTACTAAATAAACGAACAAGCTAATAAGAGCATCAATTTATTAAAAGCAAAAGACGATTAAAGTTGATCTGATCATAATGCCAACCTATGGGGATATGGACATGATGGGCATTTAAGTAGGTTGATATGTTCCTTTCCGACTATGATGTAGGGTGAAGGGAACTTGAACTTTCAGACTAGGATGTAGGGTGTAGAGAACATGATTCATTCTCCGGAGAGAACATGAACATAATTAGCGAGGGAAATGTTATCTCTAGTCCTTTCAGACTATAAAGTAAGCTGAAGGGACCAAGACCCTTTGTTACTGGGAAGAAGTTTAAAGAGAACATCTTCCTTTCGCACTATGAAGTCGTCTGAAAGGAACGTGCCTTTCAGACTAGAAAGTAAGCTGAAGGGACCAAGACCCATGGTGACAAGGGAGAGGTTTAAATAGGACATGTTCCTTTCGCACTAGGAAGTAGGGTGGAGAGCTACCCTTCAGACTAATAGAAAGAGGGAGGGAGAAGGCTGGGCATGTTCTTTTCGCATTAGAAAGTAGGCTGAAGGGAACGTTTGACGTTTGCCTTTCAAACTACTACATAAAAAGGCTGGTGACCTTATAACCAGATACAACTCTAAAATTTTAAAAAATTGTTTAACGAGTACAAAGCTTTATTATTTTAATGTCCATCATTGTTCCCCATTGTTAACTTTATCCCTTCATTATTTATGTGCCCTGAATTTCCTGGACCGTCTGCTCGATTTCAGCGGTCAGATTGCGAACACGTTCTTTTTCAACAAGAAGCTCATCTGTATTTTTATTTTAATTTTTTCAACAAATTTGACAGAATGCCAAGAAAATTCTGACAGAATGCCACAAAAATTATTTTTCGACAAAATGCCACTAAGGTTATTTTTCGACAAAATGCCACAAAAAATTATTTTTGAAAAATGCCACTAAAGTTATTTTTCGAAAAATGCCACAAAAATTATTTTCGACAGAATGCCACAAAAATTTTTTTGACAAAATGCCACAAAAAATTTGAGTTTAAAACGAAAGACAGCTTTTTAAATATTCTGAACGTCCAAATAAAAAAAAATAAAATTAAGCAAAGCAACGTAGATAGAAAAATTATTTTTAAAAAATATTTAGAACCCCCACCTTCAAGCCGGTCAACCTCCTTTTGGAGCTTTTGAACCGAACGTTCAGCAAACTCAGCACGAGTCTCAGCCTTTAAATTTTTAAATTAATTAGACTCGGAATTATTTAATATAATTTCAAAGACAATGACTATAAAGCCTTTAAAAATCAGTTCAAACAACAGAAAAATATTTTAAAAATTTTAAAATCAAACAACGAGAAATTTAACTGAAATATACCTTTAAATACCGTAATCCTTTAATAATTGGGGAATTGGTTCACTAAGGGGATGGGGGTTATATATGAGGTTATGACGTTGTGGACTAACTCATAGCTAAAAAATTATCTTCGAACTCGAAAAAAGTCTAAGTCTGAAAGGAGTTCACGAGTTCACCTCTCAATTACTTGAAACTCGTTCAGATACCTTTTTGAACGAGCTGTTCCAAAATCTATGTAAGGGAACCGGGATTGTTCGAAATTTCAAGCTCAGATCCCTTTAGCCTCTCAAGTATTGTGCCTACTTATGAAACGTATTCATAGCTCTATTAGGAACTCTTAAAATATTTGGGCAGGAAATCCTTGGGAAGACTTCTATAAACTATGGCATTCCATTAGAGTTTGTAGTATAATTGGGCCTTCTAATAGAGGGAAGGATTTTTTCTCCAGGCGAGCAATACCGTACTCCACACCTCCATTAAAATTATTTTATGTATCATAACCTCCTTGAGTCGCCCAGTCAAGTTACGAATCTGTTCCTCATAAACATCCTCTCTCTGTAAAGCCTTTTCTTCCGAAACTTCCAAAGACTTCAAATTATTTCCGACGACACGCAATTCTTCCTCAAGCTCTACAATTTTGCTAAAATCAAAAAATAAGCGTTAGGTAAGCCAAAAAATTAAAATTAATTTTGCAAACAACGAATAGATTTCAAGACAATTTTAATGAAGGAAATAAAAAAGACAAAATTAAGTGTTAGTATAAAGAGAGAGAAGTATATATTGGGGGGGGGGGCATAAAAGGGGCCTCCCCCTTTGGGCAGGCATCGAACGTGAGACTTGCTAGCAGCCTGGGACTCGCTGCTAGCCCTCACTCGTACCTTGAGTATGAGAAAAAAGTCGGACCGAGTTTGGGGTAGTGTGTGGGGTAGGGGTAGTGTGTTGGGGTAGAGGTAGTGTGAGTTAGGCATCGAACCTGAAAGTCGCTAGCAGTTATTGCTAGCACTGTACCCTGAGTATGAGAAAAAAGTCGGGCAAGTTTGGAGTCGTGTATTCAAAATTTCCTTCAAATAAGATTTCTGGTCCAGAAAAATTAGTGTTTCGTGTTTCGGTTATCCCAGGGCATCCCTGCATCCTTCAGGTGCTCTACTGACTGAGCTCAATGTTTTACTGGTTCCACTGAGTTCAGTTTGATTAGTTAAGTTAATTAATATCAAACAGAAAGGTCAGAGCAAATCAAAGACGATTATAAAGGACGATAAAACTACGAGGGTACCATAAATACACACCTCTTTAAGGCGAACTTCCATTGAGCGCACTTGCTCCTCATAAGCCTCCTCGCGTTGCATTGCCTTCTCTTCAGAAAGCTCCAAGGATTTGAGGTTGTTTCCTACAACGCGCAATTCCTCCTCGAGCTCGACAATTTTGCTATAGAAGTAGATTTTGGGTGAATTTTAAAGTTGATTAGAGAGGGTGTATAATTAGAGAGGGGGTTTATTTAGAGAGGGAGTTTAATTAGAGAGGGAGATTAATAAATTTAAGAGAAATTAGAAAGGAATTTTTAAAATTTAAGGAAAAAATTTTGTCAGACTTACTTCTCTCCAGCCTCGGCACGCTCCTCAGCACGCTCCAAATCTGCCTCAACCATTGCAAGTTTGCGAGCAACCTGAAAATTCACATAATTTTAAATTTAATATTTTGGTTTTGTTGAAGAGCAGAATGAAGCAAAAATAAATGAAAGCAGCAAAATTCAGCAAAATTTAAAAGAAAATACAAAAAAATAAAATAAGCCGTCGAACCTCATAATAAGACATATCCTTAGGGCCTTCCCTTATCAATGTCTCTTAGATTGGGGGTGTCACTTAAATTGAGGGGAGGTTTGCAAAATTAGGTGTCTGTTAAGATGGGGTGTCTATTAAAATAAATATGTATTATAATTTGAGGTGTTAGGAGTGGGATGTCTCTTAAAGTAAGGGTTTTCTCTAAATTGGGATCTCTCTTAAACGAAGAGGTCAATAAGTGAGGTTCGTTTGTATCAATACAACAATATTAATTAAAAATTCAATCAAGGCCCGCAGATTAATTTTAAAAGCAGAACACACACTCAAAGAAATCAGAGCGGACCTCATCGTATTTACGATCAGCCTCCTCAGCCAAGCTTTGAGCCTCCTTGAGTTGCTCCTCAATAGCATTGGCGCGCTCCTCATCTTGAAGGGAGCGGTTCTCCATAACCTTGCGTTGGCTAAAAGGGGAAGAGATTTTATAGAGAGAAAGAGGGTGATAAACCTAGATTTGGGAGGATATAAAGGAGAATAGAACAATTTAGGGTAAAAATACAAGGACAAAAATACAAAACATAAATAGAAAAAGACAAAATAAAAATACAAATTATAGGACAAAATACAAATTAAAATAAAATAGAGCTTCCGGAAAGTTATATAATTAATTAAAAAATAAGACCAGAATTATAAAAATACATATTATTTTTTAGAGTTATACTTTCCGGAAAATATTATTATTTAGTGGATAATATTATTTTTCCGGATGGTTTTATTTTTCCGGAAAATATTTTTACGGATGATTATTATTTTTCCGGAAAATATTTTTCCGGAAGATTATTACTTTTCCGGAAAGTAATATTAGTAAATAAAACAATACAAACCTTCCGGAAAATATAATAACTTCCGGAATTTTCCGAAAATAAATATTCTGATATGAATAATTAATTTCTGGGAGAGAATATAAAACTTCCGGAAAGTACTTTCTTTTCCGGAAAGTTGTATTTTTAATAGAAATTTTCCGGAAAGTTTTATTATTAATTATTATAATTTTCCGGAAAGTTTTATTTTATAATTCTTTTCGGAAAGTTATATTTTTAATAGAAATTTTCCGGAAAGTTTTATTTTTAATATAATTTTCCGGAAGGATTATTGAATTAATTAATATATGTAATATAAGTAAAAATACTAAGCAAAAATTCGCGCTAAAACACAAATTAATTTTTTTAACTATTAAAGCAAAACACAGCAAGCTTCAAAAATAAACATCAAAACCTCATCAGCCCTTGCTTCTGCTTCATGTAGAATAGACTGTGCTTCGCGCAACCGTGCTTCCAACTCCGCGCAACGGTCGTCGTCGACAGTAGCTCGTTGAAGCATTGCTTTGCGTTCACTGCAACACAACACACAATTAATTTTATTCATTAATTAAAAAATTAATTTTAGGTTAGAATAAGGTAAAATTCACTCAAGTTATGTAATTATTATTTGGGTGCGCGTCGCTGCCAAAATAATTTTTCAGATCAAATCCACTCAAGAAGTTAATAAATTTGAAAAAAGATAAAGAAAATAAGCAAATAAAATTTAAAAAATATTAAAAGCATTGAAAAACATGCCTCCTCATATTTGCGATCGGCATCTTCAGCAATCACCTTAGCCTCATCTACTTGCACCTCGAGTATATTTGCACGCTCCTCGTCTGCCTGGGAACGAGTTTCCATAGACTTTCGAGCACTGAATCAAGCATTCAAATCAGAAATTTTATTTAAGCAAAAAAAAATTTTATTTTTATTTTAAAGCAAAATATTAAAGCAAAATTTAATAGTAAAATAAAGCGACATGAAAATACAAGAAAATACAAGAAAATCATAAAACATCATAAAACACATAAATAAGCGACAGAAATAAAATACAAGAACAAAAACACAAATACAGAACAAATAATTCTGATAATATTTAGAGCCTTCCCAAAATACAAATTCTGATACATAAATTAAGCTTATTCTGGAATTATTTGTTTTCCGGAAAATACAAGCGAAAATACTTATAATTCTGATTTTATTCGATTCTGATTTTATTTTATTCTGATTTTATGAATATAATTTCCGGAAAACACAAACCGAAATATATAAATTCTGATTTAAATTCTTTCCGTATTATTCTGATTTTATTTAATTCAGATTTTATATAATTTCCGGAAAACACAAACCAAAACATTTAAATTCTGATTTTTTATATAAATTCTGATTTAAATCCTTTCCGTATTATTCTGATTTTATTTTATTCTGACTCTATAAGTATAATTTCCGGAAAACACAAACCAAAGAATATAAATTCTGATTTTTTAATATAAATTCTGATTTAAATCTTTTCCGGAAAAATACAAACGAAAAATAAATATTCTGATTTTATATAATTTCCGGAAAACAAATTTATGAATAAATTAATAAGGAAAAACAACAAAAATCCCCTATTCTAATATTCCCTATCACCCGGTAAAATACATTTCCCCTATAATACCGCTCAGATTCGTCGCAGTTGACGGTAGCCTCCTCCATTTTTTCAGTCGCAACTTTGCAGCGCTCCTCAAGTTTGTCCAATTCCTCTTCAAGAAGAACCATACGGCGGTTAAGAGAGGCAACCTCGGCTTCGGCCTAAACTCATTAATTTTATAGAAAAAATTCTAATAGACGGGCACTGTTTCAGTAAAAATAAACGGAAATACAAACTGAATCGCCTAAAATCATTCCACACTAGTCACATTCAAAATTAAAATTTATAAAAATAAAAGAAAAAATTAGCGCTTAATTGAGAGATATTCGCTAGTCGCATCGCAATATTTTTTGGCGTATTTTAATTTTTTTAAATAAAAAATTTATTTAACCGCTCAGCCTCATCAGCCGCTTTAGACGCTTCATCCAATTTCTGTGTAGCAACTTTTAAACGATCATCGGTACGTTCAAGATCTTCCTCAACGAGGACGATGCGGCGGTTGAGAGCAGCTACCTCTGCTTCTGCCTATTTTATTAAGAAATTGTATTTTTATTTATAATAATATTCTGATTATTGTATTGATTTTTAGATAGTCTGATTGTATTTTCTTCCGAAAATTCTGATTTTTGTATTTTTTTTTAAATTCTGATTTTTGTATTTTAACAAAATTCTGATCTTTGTATTTTCTTTTAAAAATTCTGATTTTTGTATTTTCTTTTAAAAATTCTGATTTTTGTATTTTTTTTTTAAATTCTGATTTTTGTATTTTGTTTTAAAAATTCTGATTTTTGTATTTTCCTTTAAAAATTCTGATTTTTGTGTTTTCTTTTAAAAATTCTGATTTTTGTATTTTCCTTTAAAAATTCTGATTTTTGTGTTTTCTCTTAAAAATCCTGATTTTTGTATTTTGACTTTAAAATTCTGATTATTGTATTTTCTTTTAAGAATTCTGATTTTTGTATTTTCTTTTAAAATTCTGATTTTTGTATTTTCTTTTAAAATTCTGATTTTTGTATTTTTTATTCAACTTCCTTACATCTTCTCGTTTCTTTCTCTCCTGCTCCAATTGTCTCTTAACCTCATCAGCCTCATCTTTTGCCTGCTCCGCCTCCTCCCGAGCCTGACGCATTTTCTTTTTAAGTACATCTAAAAGCGATGTTTGCTGTGAAGCACCCTTTTCCATTCTTGAAGCCATTTTAAATTAATTTCTAATTTTTCTGATAATTTTTATTTTAATAAATTTTGTTAATATTCAAGCAGCGCGCAAAATGTAAAAATAAGAGAAAAATAAAAATTTCAACCAAAAATTCTGGAATTGACCTGGATGATAAATAACACTCGTGGGAATAATTGTGTAAAATTATAGGCCAATAGGTGCTGATTTGGATGATTTACATATCCAAATGTACAGCTAATATCGACTCTCGATTTAATAAAGGAAAGAACTCGAAGGGGCAGAAGACCCTAAAGAGATGATGTGATCGAGGGTTAATCTCATTAACATCTTACCACCGAAGAGATTCGTTAGATCGAGGGTCATTTTGGGGAGGGATATTAGTCGGAGAGTCGATCGTATATTCAAAAAAATTATAATGCCCAACAGAGGTGGGTCGGAATTCGATTTCCGACGTTTTTTTCCTTCCGACTTCCGATTTCCGAAAAAAATTTCCGATTACCGAGTTACGACTTTTGAGCCAATTCCGATTTCCGGCTCTTCCATTTCCGACACCTCTGGCTGTTCCGACCCACCTCTGGTCAGAAGACATATCAAAAAAAGTGTACTGCCCAGTAAAGCCCCAGTAGCCCAAATAAGGTCCAGTATATATACGTAAATGTATATAGTGCCGAATAAATGAAGGGGTATAGCAAAAAAAATCAGAGAAAAATTTTTTAAAATCCAACAAACTATTTTTGAGATAAACTGATCATTTTTCAAAATAAAAATATTTTTTCCAAATTTTTAAAAAATTTATTTGATATCAAAATAAAATTAGAAAACTTGCGCATTAACTATAAAAGAACACGAAAATGAGTAGGCGGAAAAAATAGAAAAAAACACAATATTAACTTGAAATCAAGCTGGTAAATAAACATATAAAGTAAAATAAAGCAACTCGATTTCTAAGAACAAAATAAATATTTTTTGAAGATTTTTAAGATAAAAGAAAGAAAAAAGAAGCACAAAAGAACTAACAAATAGAGGTACCTAAAGGCTTTTTGTATGCTTCAAAATAAAAAAAATTTTGGGGAGAGAGGAAGAATGTATTGAAGATTGAGCAAACAAACTAGCTAGCTAACTTACTCTAAAATATATTTATATTTGAAGGGAGAACAGCCAACTTTTTCAATTTTATCTTGCTTATAGTTTATAATTGACAAATAAGTTAGGGTAGAAATTTTAAGGAAGAGATTCGAGAGGATTTACGAAGAGGTTAGGGAACGGACTTGTGAGGAATTTGGCTCGGGAGGATTTAAGAAGGGATTTGGGTACCGACTTGGGAGGATTTAGGAAGGGATTTGGGAACATACTTGGGAGGATTTTGGAAGGGATTTGGGAACGGATTTGGAGGATTTATGAAGAGATTTGGGAATGGACTTGGGTGGATTTGTGGAGAAATTTGAGAACTAACTTGGGATATTTGTGAAGGGATTTGGGAACGAACTTGAAAGTTGGGAACGTACTCAGGAAGGGATTAGGAAAGGATTTCGGAACGAAGTAGGAAGATTTGGAAGGTAGTTAGGAAGAGATTCGTGCATATAACCCTAAACCTCGAGAGAGTTGATTACATTTTTGGTGCCCTAGATGGCTCAAATAAGATGCCAGCAGGGGAACGAGCACTTGGGACAGGATAATATCCTATCAAAACATACATATATACAAGGGTATTTGTAGTGGAAGTAGCCACTTAGTTTTGTTAAAATCCCATTTTATCGCTCAATCTTAAAATTATTTCTAAGGATATTTATAAGGATCTAATAAAGCTTAACTAAGGATATAGGAAGCTTTATTTGTTTTTATTTAAAGAAAAATGTGTCTAGAACCCTCACAGCAGGTAATCCAGGGCTCCGATTCGTACTTTTTTAAAAGTATTGTACTTTTTTATCGACCTTCGTACTTCCGAAATTGAATTTGTACTTTTTTGAAAGTATGTACTTTTTTATCAACATTTTTGAAAAAACGAAGAAATCTGGCTTAAGGACCTCCAAAATTCTCAAAATTTTCGCCTGCGGCGCAAAAAATGGAAGAAATCTGGCTTAAGGACCTCCAAAATTCTTAAAATTTTCGCCTGCGGCGCTGAAAAAGAAGAAATCTGGCTTCTTAGGCTCCAAATTTCAAAAAATTTTCGCCTGCGGCGCTTCTCAATGGCAAACATTCAATGGACGAAGGAAAGAAACTCGCTTGAGGTTGACTGTCAGAGCTTTGCTTCATGTGACAGCAAATTTTGACATGTCATGCAATGAAATGCACAAAATGCTCAGTTGAAACAAGAAATTATTAGAAAAGATTAATTTAGGAGAGAAATATAAAAGATTGATCACGAATAAATATTTTCAAATTTAATTTTGAGTGTACTTTTTATTTGCAAATTTTCTCCCTATGTACTTTTTTTACAAGATTTTGATACTTTTGAGTGGCATTTTGTCGATCGGAGCCCTGAGGTAATCCCAATCCAAGGAATGCAACAAAAACAAATAAATATTTAATAGGATAGCTAAAGTACTTGGTAATTTTCCCTAATTTGTTTTAAAGCATTAAAAAATTAAGGAAAATAGGGAAGACTGGCTATACCTCTTATACCTAATAAAATGCTTGTAAGCATTTGCGCAAATATTTGTAATATTAAGCAAAATATTTATATTAGTTATTATTTGAAGCTTAATTTGTACAGATGAAAACTAAATAGGGGTAAGAAGAAAATTCAATTGACTTTAGGTAACTCTCGAATAACCCCACAAGTTGGACTACAAGATATGCAGCTCTAACCCTAGTAAACTTCTATCTAACAGCTAACAATCATGGGCGTGTAAATATGTACTGATATAACGAGAGTTGTGATGGTATAATTAATCTCAGTATAACCCCCACACAGTGGGCTGACTGTTATTTAACCTTATTACCCCTCGATCGGACAGTAAACCAACCAGCTGGTGTTGATATAACAAGTGTAAAGGAAATACAATTAATTCTCGTTATAACACCATAAAATGGACTGACCGACACTAAAGGTTATCCCTTCAAAAGGTGTGTAAATAAGTAATGTTATAACGAGAGGACGATTATTTAACGGAAGGGGACCTCTCTCGATTAGAGTGTCTCTCAATATGGACAAAAAATTACAAAAAAGTAAATTAATGTAAAAAATATGTATGAGCAGACAGATATTTTTACAACTAAAAATATATTTTGGTCTATAAAATTATTTTAACAAATTTATGAGTGTTTAGCTAGCTAATAATAAACAAAATAAAATAATATTTTTATTTTAGCCTTGATAAAATCTTTTTTTGGGGAAAAATACAAAAAAATGTTGACAGATTCACCAGCTAAAAACAAATATAAAAAGGGGTGAATAACTGGGAACGAAAAAAAAATAAAAAAAAAAGTGAGTATGGACAAGGAATGATGACTATGTCATTGTATTATTGGCCTTAAAACGCGTGCGGTGTTAAGCGAAAAAATACTGAAAAAAATAAAAATGATAGTAAATGTTTGGGGGAAAGATTTAGAATGCTAGTAAAAAATACAAAGAGATTGGGATAGTTTCAGAATTTTTTGGTTGTCAATAGGGAAGGCAAACAGACTAAAGACAGTCGCATTCCTGGAATACTCTTGTGTGTATTTTAAATAAAAGAATTTGGAAAAATATTTTGTACAACTGTGAATAAATACAAGAGAAAATATTTACAAAATAATTTCCGGAAAATACAAAATATAATTCAATAAAATTTATTTCGGGAAAAAATATAATTCTGATTTATTCTGACCGGAAAAATACATATAAAATTACTTTTATAATTTCATGAAAAAACTAAAGAATTTAATATTTCCTTCCGGAAAAAGTTTAATTCAAAAAAGTTTATTTACGGAAAACGCAAATAAAATTAATTCTGATTTAAGTTACTTTAACAATTTCCGGAAAATATAAAATTTAATACTCCATTCCGGAAAAAGTTTAATTTAATAAAGTTTATTTCCGGAAAACACAAAATAAAGTTAAATAATTCTGAGTTATTCTGGTTGTACGTATACCAGAAAAAATATAAGAATAAATTTTTCCGGAAAATACAAAATATAATTCAATAGTTTATTTCCGAAAAAAATATAATTAATTCTGATTATTCTGACCGGAAAAGATATATAAATTACTTTTATAATTTCCGGAAAATGAATAATAATTTAATAATGTCTTCCGGAAAAAGTTTAATTCAATAAAGTATATTTCCGGAAAACACACATATAAAGTTACATAATTCTGATTTATTCTGGTTATACACATACCTGAAGAAATATAAGAATAAACTATTTCCGGAAAGTAATAATCTAATTAATAATTGAATACATACTAAAACAATTCAGTGTTTAATTCAAAAAAGTTTATTTCCGGAAAAAAATAAAATTAATTCTGATTTATTCTTTACGGATAAAATATAAATTACTTTAATAATTTCCGGAAAATAAAAAAATTTAATACTTCATTCCGGAAGAAGTTTAATTAAATAAAGTTTATTTCCGGAAAATTCAAATAGAACTTATTCTGATTTAGAATAATGCAAATATTTCCAGAAAATAATTATTGAGGTCATAAAACCTTAATTCTGAAAAATACAAAATACATTCCGGAAAATACAAAATAGGTACATATAAATTCTGATTTATAAAATTTATTCTGAAATGTATTTCTTTATTTTTCTATTTTCATTTATTAAATAAAACTCTTTCAGAATGCATTATATTTAAATAAAACAGCATAATTGCCTAGGGAATGCACTAAAACGGGAAAAACACATTTGTGCTAAAAGGTAGTTGTTTTGCGCGTGTCTTTTTTTAATTCTTTCATTTCCCTGTCCTCTCTGTTTTTTGCCAAACCGTCAATTAAATAATGAGAAATTAAAGGAAAGAAAGGAAAAGAAAGGGGTTGTCGTTAGAACCAGCCGGACGGTTTAAGAGGAAATGAAAGAAAAGAAATAGACAAAAAATTCAGATTTATCGGGCAAAAAGGAAAGGGATAGGAATTTATGTAGAAAATAGTAAAAATTTATTTATAATTATTTTTAACTAATTTTTTAAACGGTGCTGATCAAATCTATTTGGCGTAGAATTAATTAAAATACAGAAAGAAAAATAGTTGAATATAAAATCAGAACATTTAATAATATATAAAATTAGAATAATTATATTTCTTTGTATTTTCAGGAATATTTTATTAAGTACTGATATTAATAATACTTGTATTTCTTTATAAAATCAGAATTTTCTCATTATAAAAAATTAGAGTTATATTGTATTTTCCAGAATAATACAAAATATTCTGATTATAATTCTGTTTTATTAAATTATAGTTCTGTTAGATTATAGTTCTGCTTTATTAAATAATAAATGTATTTTCCTATAAAATCGAATTTTTCATTATAACAATAAAATCAGAATATTTAATATTAAAATGTATGTTCCGGAATAACTCTACTATACTTTAATTATAAATTATTTCCGGAAACGATTATTCTGATTCTAATGTATTTTCCGGAATAACTTGATTATACTATGTATAACCATAAATTATTTCCGGAAATTATAAGTTATTTCTGATTTTATGTATTTTCCGGAATAACTCTACTATACTATAATTATAAATTATTTCCGGAAATTATAAATTATTTCTGATTTTAATGTATTTTCCGGAATAAAATTCTGATTTATTAAATAATTTTGTATTTTCTTAAAAAATCAGAATTTCCTATATGTTAATAAAACAGATTGAGGTTATGAGTTCTTTCAAAAATGTGCATTTTTCTCCTTAAGCAGCTGCTACTTTTTAGAGGAAAATATAATATAATAAAGAAAATTGTTGAGGAATTCGCGACCTTAAAGTGAAGCGATATTTATACAATAACAAATATAAAAAGGCTGGCGAGAAGCATACCAGCCGCCGACCTTCAAGTGTTTCTTGAGGTATATATGTTGCGCGCTATGAGTGGAAAATTTTTTTATGATTATGAGGAATGAGGCAAGAGGAATGGAATTTGTTTAAGTAATAATAACAAAATACAAAATTTTAAAAGAATTTTAGAAAATAATTGAGACTTAAGATAAAAAATTTTGATATTATAAAGAAAATTAAAAATAATTTTATAAGTCAGAATTTTAGAGGATATACCGGAAAATACATCATATGTATCGGAAATAATTTATAATTTCCGGAAATAATTTATTATTATAGTATAATTGAATTATTCCAGAAAATAAAGTATAATTATTGAATATTTATTCTGATTTGTAAGAATATTCTGATTTAGTATTCTGATTAAATTAATAATATTCTGATTTAAAAATTCTGATTTGTATAACAAAGAAAATACACATTATTTAATATCAGAATTTTAGCTAATATTCAGGAAGATAATTATAATCAGAATATTTATTTTGAATTATACCAGAAAATACATTATAACTCTGACTTCTATGTGCATATAAAGAGGAAATTCTGATTTAAGAAGGAAAACACATTTTGTTTAATAAATCAGAATATTATAAAATACCTATTCCGGTAAAACACAAATTATTAACAAAATTCTGATTTTAATTTTTATACAAAGGAAATTCTGATTTAATAACGAAAACACATTATAAACACAAAACACACACATAAAACACATTAATCAGAATTTAACAAAATATTCCGGAAAAACACAAATTATAACCAAAATTCTGATTAAATTAATAATATTCTGATTTGAATTACCAAGTTCTGATTTCATAAAGAAAACACGTTTATTATTTAATAAATCAGAATATTTTGTATTTTCTCCGAAAACCCCATCATTATAATAAATATTCTAATTTTATTCTTCAAAGAGAAAATTCTGATTTTATAAAGAAAATACTACAAAATTCCGGAAAGAATATAACCATCATATTTATAGCAAGCTTAATTAATTTAATAAAATACAAAATTCTGAAAAGTTCAATTTACTTTTATAAAATTAAAGAACAGAATATGATAGATGGCGAAATTCCATCGCTTTTGTTTCCTTTGTCGGCGTTGCGCAAATTTACAGATCAAATCAACAAAAATATAACTATACAAATAAATTTTTAAATTTTGTAGTTTTATGGAGTGGCTTATAGAGTGTATTTTAATTTTAAAATATTTAATTAGGCATAATTTGTGAGTGATTTTTAGTTAAAAAATATTTCTGAAGTTATAAGAGGGTGAGATGAGAACTGTGAGAGGGAGGAGGGGGATAAGGGTCTCCTAATCCCCTTTAATCCTCTAGATCCACAAGAATTAATTTTTTCAAGTCTCTTTTTCCCCTTTAATCAACAAGACCCATCGATTAAAATGTGAAGAAATAACAGATAAAAAATTCGAGTTGATCAAAAAGTTGTAGGTCTTCAGAGTAAATAGGTCTTCTGAGTGTAGGTCCTCAGGGTGTAGGTCTTCAGAGTGTAGGTCCTCATGGTTGTCCCCAAAAAGTCCCCCCACCCAACCCTCAGTAGCTTCCAAAAAATATTTTATTGCTTAAAATTGAAAGGAGCTCAACTTCCTTATTCTGTTCCATCATTAAAAGCAAAAATTATTCTAGCAGCATTCCCATTAAAAATCACAAAACAAAAAATGATAGCTAATCAGGCTTGTATTTTCAAAGAAAAATAAACTTTTTGGAATAATCTACGCTTGTTTTTGTTCTTTTAATACAACAACTTGTTTTGTGTGCGCGTGACGATATCAATCAACCAATTTAGGGGTAGTACTCAAAAAATAATGAGAGAGAAAGAGAAAAGTTGTAAATGCTTACAAATAATGCTAATTGTTAAATAAAAATGTTGGAAAAAATTATTAAAGATAAATTAAATTATTGGGAAATTATTAGTGAAATTGAATATTAAGGCTTCAAGGAGGTACTTAAGGTGTTTGTAAAAAAGTGGGCAAAACCCCCTAGTATGTAGCATATAAACTTGAACACAATATTAGATCGTAGCTTATTTATGAATACATCCATGGGAGTGGAAAAAAGTGACCCTTAAATAAGAGACACTCAATTGGGAGAGACACTCTCTACACCCAAGTTTAAGATACTGAGTGTCTCTCACAAGTGAGTGAGGGAGAGAGTGTCTCTCACAAGTGATCTCACTCACAAGTGAGTGAGATAGTGAGTGTCTCCCACAAGTGATCTCACTTTCGCAAGTGAGTGAGGGAGTGAGTGACTCCTACAAGTGAGTGAGATAGTGAGTGTCTCCCACAGGTGAGTGAGTGACCTTAGATGCTTGTAGACATAGGTGAGATCCGACTGCATAACTTTACGCTTGAGAGGACCATGAAAAAAACAGTGAGATAATTAACAATCGCGAGTGTCCCCCTTGAGATACCCAAGCCCAAACACTCGGTGAAATTACCCACAAAAAAATATTTTTTTCTCAATTGCATTCGAAGAAATTCACACAAAATTGCAGTTGCACAAGTCAAACACAGAAATACAGTATTATAAAAATAAATAGTGAAACAGTGCCACAATTTCAGAAAATATTTTAATTAATGACCCACCTCCTGCACTTTTTTCTCCTTCTCCTCAAGCGCATTGTTTGCGGAGGAAAGGTCCTCTTGTGCCTTGTCCAATTCGTTTTCAATTGCCTTAAGATTTTAATTTTAGGTTTTTTTTATTAAAAATTTTTTTTAGATTTTTGAAAATTTCAAAATTTTCAAAAAATTTCAGAAATTTTCCAAAAATTATTAAAAAAATTTCAAAAATTTTAAGAAATTTTTGAAATTTTCAGAAATTCCAAAAATTCTCAAAAATTTTTTTTTAATTTCAGAAATTTCAAAAATTTAAAAATTTTCAAAGAATTTCAAAAATTTCAAAAAAATTTCAGAAATTTCAAAATTTTTTGGAAAAATTTCAAATTTTTAAAATTTTCAGAAATTTTCAAAAAAATATCCTCAATTCACCATCATCTTCTTCTGTGTATCGCGCAACTCTTCCTCAACGCGTTCTAAGCGTTCCTGAGTCTGTCTGCATTTTTCTTCTGCCGCGTCCGCCCGGTCTATGGCGTTATCCTTTAAAGGAAAAAATTTTTTTTGATTTTTCAAAAAATTTTTTTCCACCTTCTCAATCTTCATCGCCTGCATCTTCTTCTTGATGGCGTCCATTTTTGATGATTTTTAGACTTTTAAGTCAAGAATTAAAATTAATATAAAAGGCACAAGTATAGAGAAGGCACTCTTAAATTCAAAAAAAAATTTTTTATTTTATTTTTTTTTTTAATTTTCAAAAAATTTTCCAAAATAAATTTTTTTAATAATATAGAGTGATTATTCTCGCTTTAATAAATAATTCAAATATTTTTAATAATCACGAATATAAATTTCCATAATTTATTTATGTAGAAAAACTTGTTATCCGAGTCAAGATACCTTCAAATGAGAACGAGAACTCGGTGAAATTAAATTTCTTGGAATAAAAACAAAGAGAAATCACCGTATTTTTTTTGCTAATTCGGATAAGATATAGTAAAGATCTCCAAAAAATTAAATTAAAATTTACATAAAGGGGGTTCATAAAAAACCCGTGGCCCCAGAATTAGATTAGTTCCAAAAAGTGAGAGAAGAAAGCGAGAGAAGGACCATCAGAGAAGGAAGGCACACCATTTTAAGTGAATGTTCTTATTAAAAATTCAAATTAAATAATATTTGATACAGTATACTGAGGCAATTTTAATTTCTTGTAATCCAAAGATTTACATTAGAAGGGTTTCAGAAGAAACCCCAGCCCAAAAATTATACTCTGGCGAGTTTAGTTACATCGGGGGTAAGCTATAAACAAAGAGGGCAATTTATACAGAAAACATCTCTTTTATTTTATATGAGTAGCAAAGAATGGTTAGAGAACAAAAGTGTTTACATTAAAAATTTTTTAAATTTAGTGGGTCTATAAAGACCCCAAAAATTCGTGCAGAAATGGTGTGTCCGAAATATGCTGATATTCATAAAAAAAGATTGAAATTTATACAGAATACGTTCATTTTATTTATGGAGAGAAAGTATTACATTAAAATTTTTTAAAATGTAGGGGGTCGAAAAAAACCCCCCGGCCCAAAAATTCGAATTACGATTCAGAGTACGCCGTTTCAGTCACGCCGCTCTCTATGACAAAAGGCTAGTATGTAAAGAATTATTCTCCTCTTATTTTATATGGGTAGCAAGAAAGGATAGAGAACAAAACAGTTTTATCTATATTAATAAAATTTATCTATATTATCCAAAATTCTTTTCACGTTAGTGTGCTTGAGTATGCTGCCTATGCTTGAGAAAAAGAGGAATTTGTAAAGAAAACCTATGTTTATGGAGAGTTAAAGGTTACTTTAGAAATTTTTTTAAGATGTAGGGGGTCGAAAAAAACCCCCCGGCCCAAAAATTCGAATTACGATTCAGAGTACGCCGTTTCAGTCACGCCGTTCTCTATGACAAAGGCTAGTAGGTAAAGATTTCCTCACCTCTTATTTTATATGAGTAGCAAGAAAGGTTATAGAACAAAAATGTTTTATCTATATTAATAAAATGTAGCGTGTCTGCATAAACAACTGTCCAAAATTCTTTTCACGTTAGTGTGTTTGAGTACGCTTCCTATGCTTGAGAAAAAGAGTAATTTTTAAACAATACATTCCATTCATTTTATATTGCTAGGCAAAAAACAAGGCTAGAGAAAAAAATTATCTAACTTTAAAATTTTTTAAAATGTAAGGGGTCAAACAGACCCCCCGTCCCAAAAATTCTATTACGGTTCAGTACCGCACAGTTCCATGCCGTTTCACTCGGAAAAGAGGCTAGTTCGTAAAGAAATTGTCTCTTCTTATTTATATGGGAAGCATATAAAGGGTAGAGAACAAGAGTTTTGTGTGGAAGTTAAAAAGAAGAGAATGGAGAAGAGTATTCTATTTTATTTCAAATAAATTCTCTTTAAAAATTTTTTGTAATATTTTAAGAGGTATAATATTTTTAAAAGGTATAAGATGTAGGCCCAGATTTGAAAAATTAGTTACGATAATATTTAGTTACATCGTGAACTTCAGGAAAAATTGACAATATGTAAGGAAATCTTCACCAAGAAAGTTAAAAGATTTTTAATATAGGGGGTCCATAAAAACCCCCAGTCCCAAAAATTCTTGCCACTTGAGTGGGTTAAAACTGCTGTCTGTTCTCTTTATGAAAAGACTAAGTTGTAAAGAAAGTGTCGACTATTATTTTATATGGGTAGCACATAAGGTTAGAGAACAAAAATATTAATGCTAAAATTTTAAATATGTAGGGGGTCCACAAAGACCCCCCTTTCCAAAAATTCTAAACCGTTTCAGTACCGCACGATTGAGTTAGCCGTTGTGCGAAGAAAAAGAGAATAGTTTGTAAAGAAAAGTCCTCTTTTATTTTATATGGGAAGCACACAAGGGTAGAGAACAAAAATATTTATGCTACACCTTTAAATATGAAGGGGGTCTTTAAAGACCCCCAGTCCCAAAAATTTCAATATATATAAAAATATAGGGGAGGGGTCCAACTCAGGATATTTTCATTTCATATTCATCGAGACGCTTTCTTTTATTTTATATGAGGAGCAAAATAGGCTAGAGAACAAGAGAGTTTAACTAATATCTTTATAAAAATGTAGGGGGTTCATAGAGACCCCCGGTCCAAAAATTATTATACAGTGTGGTACAAAAGTTTATGCCAACTATATTTCATAACATTCATAGAGAAAACGGTTTACTTTTATTTTTCATGTGAAGCAAAACATGTTAGAGAACAAGAATATTAACTAATATCTTTCTAAATGTAGGGGGTCGAACGACCCCCAGACCCAAAAATTTTATACTAGCGATAAGTTACGTATGCGATGGCGGTTAGTTACGTATGCAATTCCTATTTGTATGCGATTCCATTTTACTTTTATTTTATATGAGGAGCAAAACATGTTAGAGAACAAAAATATTAACTATATAGTCTATATACTTAGGGGGTCATAACGACCCCCAGACCCAAAAATTTTATCTATATATAAAAAAATTAGCCCATATCAAGTAAATCTCATCACATTTTTAGTGAAAACGTCTTCCTTATATTTTATATGAGGAGCAAAACTAGGGTAGAGAACAAAAGAGATTAACTCTTTACAAATGTAGGGGGTCAAAATAAACCCCCCGTTCCAAAAATTTTATACAGTGTGGTGCAAAAGTTTATACCAAACACATTTCAACCTATCTCTAAAGAAGACGTCTTCCCTTTATTTTATATGTGAAGCAAAACATGGTTAGAGAACAAGAGTATCTCAACTATAGTTAAAGGATTTTGAATTTTTAGGGGGTCAAAAAAACCCCCCGTCCCAAAAATTCCCTATATATAATTTGAGAATGGTTTGTCTGTAAGTATTCTATTTCTTCTTATTTTTACGGCTATTTTCTTCAAAAAATTTTGAATGGGGAGAAAATATAAAAAAAAAAGAAAGAATAGAATCGTAAAATAAGTGTAATACTGAGAAAAATAAAGGGAAATAGTACACTATATTGTTCTCTCCGTATAATGGCTGCCACAAAAAAATTAGGAAGAAAGAGATATGAAGGAGAATAAAACAGAATAGTAAAAGAAAAAGGGAAGAAAAATAGTAAACGACAAAAGGGTACAATAAGAAAATTAAGACAAAAGGGTAAGAGAAGAAGTATAAGACAAAATGGTAAAGGACCAAAGGGTATAATAATAAGAAAACAAAGACAAAAGGGTAAAAGAAGAGGTATTAGGCAAAATGATAAAAGACAGAAAGGGGCAATAAGAAAACAAAAAAGAGTACGATAAGAAAACGTATAAGTCAAAATGGTAAAAGACAAAAGGATACTAGAAGAAAACTATTACAATAGGTTAAAAGAAAAGGTATAATAGAGTCAAAATGGTAAAAGATAAAAAATACTAAATGACAAAAAGGAATCAGAATAAGAATAAGACAAAATGTTAAATTACAAACAAAGGAGGTACTAAGAATATGAATCAAACCAAAAATTTATCCATGTGGAAAATCAAAGGAATATATCAGAAGATTTGGGTGGATTAAGTTGATATCGAGAGATATCAAAGGATTAATAGGGATATTCAGGGGTTTTGAGTGAATTATAAGGCCAAGAGTTTCGGACGTCTCTAGTAGGTATCACGGGTGTCAAATCAGAGGAATTGGGTGGATTAAGTGGATATCGAGTGATATCAAAGGGTTAGAGGCGCATTCAAAGGATTTGAGTGAATTGTGGGGCCGAGAGTCTCGGACGTCTCTAGTAGGTATCACGGGAGGGCCGAAACGAAATTTTGAAAAATAGAATGTGAAAAATGAAAATTTGTAAAAAGCGATTTTGACTCAGGTGAAAAATAAATTCTTTAAAGCTCTTAGTATTAATAATCCGTTTCCAAAAATAAAAGTTTTTAAGTAAAGTTAAATGAGTTAAAAATAGCAAGTAAATAAAATGAGCATATGCTGCCGCCTCCAGGCTTTAAAACTTTTTAGTTTTGTGTGTAGGCGGTTTACACACATCTGTCCCTTTATATTAGATCATTAATGTTGTAATAGAGAAGTAAAAATAAAAAATTTTTATTTTTAATTAGAGAAGATAAAAATCTATAAATATGGATCAGAAATGTGGTTTTTATTGGGGAATTTGTTAAAAAAATTTTTATTGGGATTTTTTGATGTTATAGGGTTTAGAGAGTTAATTGAATCGTTGTGAACTGAAAAGAGAGGGAGATTCGAGGAGAGAGAAAGAGAGTGATTTTTAAGCTTTGAGACTTAAGAAGAATATTACAATGAAGCTTTGGTGATAAACCTGGATATATGGCGTCTTATGAATACAGACTGGATCCCGAGGGATAATTTTATATGAAATTGAATCGAAAAATAGAGTTGATCCGAAGTGAAGTAGGTTTGGAGGAGGCAATCCCGAGAAGGAGGTGTAAAACTCTAATGGTCCTGAGTAGTCCACAAACTCGGGTGTTTCCCCTAGGAGGCTAGGAAAAGCACGGAGAAAGAGAGCGGGATAAACCTTATAGTATTAAGTGACATACAATTAGGGGGTTCCCCGACGAGACGAAGAGTGTGGCAGCGGCAATCAAATTAGGGGTGTATTCCGAGTGGTCTTGAGTTGGTTTGTCAGGTTTAGTGTGTTTTAACAGTCTTTTTATCGATCCATAGACTTTTTTATTATCAGGAGCCCGTTTCGGATAATTTTCGTATAAAGAGAGGAATAATAATTCACTATAAAATCGGTAGAATCGAAGTGGTTGAATAGACTTTAAAACAATTTTTTGGGTTGGGTGGTAATAAGAAAAATGTTTATGTAATGGATCAGTCAATTCCTAGGAAAGGTTTATTGAAGATCATGTTTGTGGGAACAACTGATGCTTTTTGGTAAATAAGAATGTGAAAAAATTTTTTTTTAAGGTTTGATGGATTGGGAAAGCTGTTAGGATTTTTATTATTTTTATGCTTTGAAGGGACAGAGTGTTGATTGAGTGAGGAGACTCTTAGAGACTGAAAAGGCCTGTAAAGGCATGTCTCGGAAAATTAATTTTGGTGTCATTTTATGGGCAATTGAATAGTAAAATAAAATTTTCGGGCTAAATTTCGGTAAGATTTCACTATAAGATATACTCCGGGGTTCAAATAATCGTTTCTTATAATGAGATTAGGAAGCTCTCCCGGCTTATAATGAGATTAGGCAGCTCTCCCCCAAAAACAAGTGACCGTTCAAATTTAAAAAAGCGTATGTTAAATAGAAGTGCATATTATAGTGAGGTGTATATTATATTGGGTGTGTATTATTGAGAGAGACTTTAAAATAAGGTCCTACTATATTGTGAGGTATAGTAAAGTTAGACTATATTAGAATGATAAATACAAAACGAATATAGACAATTTTAAAAATATTTAAAATTCAAAAAATTTTTACTTAATATTAGATAAATTATTTAAACTTATTTAAATGAAATAATTTTATAACAGGATGGTGAACAAAATAATAAAAATGTTTGTTTCTTTTCTGTTGAGACTAAGATTGCGGGTCCGGATATCCGGATCCGAAAAAAGACAGGATATTTGGGATTTTTCGTTCGATATTGGAGATTTTCGTTCGGATATGGGATCCGGATGTCCAAAGATTTCCAACTATGCGACAACCTTATTTGAGACTCAATGATTCTCTAAAACAATGAGTTACCTAAGACAAATAACAAACAACTCCTCTGAACAATTCCTTTGGATTTAAGAAAGGCTAATTTATATTACGTAAACAATTTGGTAAACAAAATGTTTTTTAACTAAAAAATTCCAAAAATTTCTTTAGGCTTTTAACCAAGATTTTTTTAAAAAACATTTGTTAATAATTATGGGTAAATAAATAAAAATAGGTATCAAGTATTTGTTGAAAATAAGGTTGTCGGTTCTTGGAAAATGTGAAAATTTTTTGGATATCACCGATGGGTTTAACCCAAAATCCTACACCCAAAAGACCTATTGACTCTAAAGACCTGTTGATCCAAAAGACCTACAACTTTTGAAAGCGGATATCAAAAGGGAATATCGTTGATTTGGAGGGATTAAGCGGATATAGATGAATTTAGTGCGAGTGAATTGGAAAGAAATCAATACCCTTTAATCCCTCTAAACCCCCTTTAATCCCTCTTAATTATAGGGGGTTATACTTATCCCCCTATATCCCCCTTTAATTATCCATTTTAAAAATTTGTAGTTCTTTTGGGTCAAAGTTATTTTGTGATGGACTCGTACCGATAATAGTTGGGTTTAATTGAAATTTTATTTAAAAATTTTATCAAGAAAAAGGATGGTTTAATAATTTCTAGTAAAATATTTAAAAATATTACGAAAAAAATATTTTAAAATACAAGGAGAAACAATAAATAATATTCTAGTGGGTATAAAATTGAATAAAAAATTGTTACAGCATTAATAAAGGGATTATTCATTCTTTTTTTTTTAAAAGAATTCTTACATTAAATATTATTCATCTTTTCAACCTTCTCATATTTTCACCTAAAAGCTTTAAAAGGGGAATGATTCGTTTACTAGGCTTATTTGAAATGGAAGAGGTTGAAAAAGAAATTTTTGAAAAAATCATTTTAACGTTTCCTAGACTTGGAAGATTTGAGGGGATAAGAGGGAATATCAGAAGATCTAGGTTGTATTGGGGGGGGGGGGAGGGGGGGGGGGGGTATAAGGATATTTGGGGGTATAAGGGGGAAATAGAGAGATTGAAAGGAATTGAGGAAGATATAATAGTACTGTGTGGATTAAGAAGGATATAGGTAGATTTAGAGGGATTTAGTGGATTAGCAGAATCATTTAGGAGTGGGTCTGTAGAAATGTAAAATTTTCGGATATCCCTGGATCTCCTTTATTAATAAAGAGATTAAATGGACATGGGGAAGATATTATGAGTCTACATGGATTAAAAAGGAAATAATGTGATTCAGATGATTTAGAGGATTAGTAGGAGCTATTTAGCATGATGTTATAGAGAGCTTCTATGGGAGAGAGGCGTCTGCTGTAAGGTGTTTTTAAAAAGATTCCACTATCAATATCCGCCTCTTAATCATAAATAGTTTAAAGCGATTCTGGCAATTATTGCTATAACCTAGTGTTCACCTCGTACAGGTGCTCTTCCGACTCAATTTCCTTATCGGTGCTTTTAACTAGCCTTTAATCTACCGTATTTTCTCTAAAATAGCAACCTCTCCAAAATAGCCCCCCTCTCTAAAATAGCCCCCCTCTAGGGCTCGATCGAAAAAAATAGCACCCCTCTCCAAAATAGCCCCCCTCTCTAAAATAGCCCCCCTCTCTAAAATAGCCCCCTTCTAGAGGTCGATTGAAAAAAATAGCCCTCAGGGGCTATTTTAGAGAAAATACGGTATCTTATATGACCCTTATGAAGATATTACATCCTAGCCAGCTACATATATCTCCTTTCTTCCTTTCAATATAGAAAGTTGGGTTTATTGATCTTAAACAATTGCCAGAGGCAGTTTAGTTTAGGTTTAACTTACTTAACTAACAAACAATTTTTGTTTAAATAAAGCTTTGGGCCTTTCATTCTACTCAAATCACTCGAGATTAAGCAGCTGTTACGTTCTCCTTTTTGATATAATATGTAAAAGATTTAACAATATTTCTTCTTTATATTCCTAGAAAGTCGTTTAAATGTTGTTGGATAACAAAAAAATTTTTGCCGCCCACCCAAAAAATTTTCGGGAATGTTTTGGATGTTTTACGATAAAAAACTTGAGGGAAACATTGAAGGAAATGAGTAAAAATTTTATAAAAAATTAATATTTTGAGTAACTTTAAGAGTAGGATAGGTATACACTTGGTTTACCCCCCCCCCCCCCCTTCATTATGCCTTTGGAGTTAGAAATTATATCTTATACATAATCAAGGGTACCTTAAATTTTATCTGACGATTATTCGGAATGTGAATTTAGCCTGGAAAGGGAACGAAAATCTTAATTTTTGTTTCAGGTTATTCCCGAACCAATTAACTCCTTCATCCAGTTATCAAAATTTGAGAGACACTGGTAGGGAGAGCTTCCTGAGCGATGTCTTTATTTAAGATAGACTCATAATAATGGTAGGATCAACCCCCCAAAATGCGCATCCGAAGTGAGTACATTATAAGAAGTCTAACTTTTAACTCGAGTTTCTTTCAATAATAAATTTCGATTGGACTCATAAAACATAATATAACCAAAAAATTTTTTATATTCAATGAATACAGTTAAATTCAGATTTTTTCTAAAAATTATCATTTTATATTTCCTTCGATTTCTTTCAATTTCATCATTCGCTTAACCCAAAGTCTGATTTTAGTTCACAATTTGTTTAAAGTCAATTTTGCATTCGCGACTTCCACTATCATCGCAGCTTCCAAATCCCTCAGCAACCAACACATCCTCTCCACCTTGACCTATCGGGCAATACATTCTGAACGGCTGACTTTCGCCAATATATTCGTGAAAATCTTTGGATAGCACTTCTAGATATTCTTTTTCAGCATTACAAGCGTATCCCGTAAGTTCACAGGGAGGCTGAGTACAGTTGTATTGTTGCCCACAAGTCACAGATTCAAATAAACCATCGTTCGTATCTATTGTTATTAATGACAATTAATAGAATGTAATAGAGAACATCCCGTTCAAAATAGGATATGAGCTGAAAAGATATGCCCGTTTAGACTAGTAGGTAGGCTGTAAAGACATTCTGCGTTCAATATAGGAAGTGGGCTGAATAGACGTCCAGTTTGGACGACAATGTAGTCTATAGCGAGATGTCCCGTTCGGACTAGTAGGTAGGCTGAAAAGACATGCCCCGTTCAAAATAGAATTTGGGCTTAAGAGACATGTCTCTTTGGACGAGAATGTAGTCTATAGCGACATATACCGTTTGGACTAGTAGGTAGGCTGAAAGGACATGCTCCGTTCAGAATAAGAATTAAGCTGAAGAGACCTGTTCCGTCTAATTTAGTAGGTAAGTTGAAGAGACATGCCCCGTTCGGAATGAGATGTGACCTGAAGAGACATGTCCCGTTTGGACTAGTAGGTAGGCTGAAAGGACATGCCCCGTTCGGAACACCGTCACTATTGAATGCCCCTCGGCGAAGGTATACATACGCCCTCGGAGTAGACATATTCTGTTCTGACTAGGATGAAGGTAGGGAAGAGAAACATGCCACCTTCAGACTATAAGTAGTCTGAAGAGAACATCTCCCGGGCGAACCTGCTCGTTTTGAACTTACTAATATCGCAAATAAATGAAGTTTGCAAGTTTGCGTAATTTCTAAGTCCAGAACAAGCCAAAAATGCAGTAACCAAAACACTCATATGATGACGATTGCAACAATTAAATTTAGGCTTATTGTCGAAAGTGACATTTACGTCCTTGATACTTTCATTCAGTAATTTTCTCGAATTCCTGCTCGATTTAGAAGGCTCTTCAAGAGCTTCATCACACTCTGTTTCACACTTTTCCTTCCCCTTCAACTCTTTTTTATTTTTCCCCTTTTCGTTGTTGAACAAATTTTTTTCCTTTGCCTCCGTTAAGCCGTTCAAGGCGCTAAATTTATTTTTAACTTCCACATTGTATCGAGCCTGCAATTTGTTTTTTGAAGGCTTTGACTCCTTCCTCTCCTTCCCAGTAGGGGTTTCCTTGTTTTTGTTGCCTTGATCCTTTAGCATTCTTCGATACCCATAGATTGAAGTATCAGGGTAGTTGACACCCTTAGGAGCCTCGAAAGTTTCATGAAGAATTTGGGGAGCATTAAAAGTCTGTTGAGGTTGAACAACATTCAAAGGACGAATTTCACCTTAAATAAGTTTGGATTTATGAAGGGGCTTGAAGCTCAGGGGATGTAAAGCCATGAAGTTTCTTCACAGCCGTACTACGCCAAGTACTAAGGGGTCTCTCAATTTCCACTGCCCATATGTCCGTGAATCAGAAGCCTAGCAAATGAAGCAAAAAGGAAGCGACTAGTCAGTGTCGGTTAAGAATAGGGTTCGACCCCCGTCCCCGGGGCACGGAATTCCTCGGGGAACGGGGGAGGTCTCCTCCTAAAGCCCCCGTTCCCCACCCCCGCAGTTCGAATTCACCTAATCCTCCGTTCTCCGTAAATTTTCCCCGTCCCGTAAAAGGTTGCACCCTAGTTAAGAATCTTATTATGATGATCATAAATCTATATTTCATAATACACTGGAACTGTAATCATCAAAAGACCGCAACAATATTAGCAATGGTTGTCTTGTTGGAGAGCTCTCTCGCTAATCGGAAAGCTCTCAGGATCAAACCCTATCCAATACTTTTGCTTATTCTTTAGGGTGGGTCAGGCTTGCTCAACTAAACTTAACAAAAATTAAATTTCTACCTTTACCCGCCCCACAATTTTTAATTAAAATTAAATTGAAAATAATAAATAAAATAAGCATCTTAAGGAAACTTGGTTGGGGAACAAGCTGGAAAATATTTTAAAAATAATAATAATTTTAATAAATTAAGGAGCTTAAATAAAGGCCTATGAGACAGGAATTGTCAAAAAATTATGAAAGCAGGGAAAATAAAAATATTTAAAGAATGGCAGTGCTTGTTTATTTAAAAGGGCAACATTGTTAAAGTGCTTATTAAGAAATGTTTATTTATTTTTAAATTTAAATTTTTATTTTTGAAAAGTGCAAGTGTATTTTGAAAGGTAAAAAGGTCAAATACATTTACAAATAAAATTTTGAATTTTAATAGTGTCTGAGAGACTCGTATTTTTAAAATTAAAATCCAATTCGTTTTTAAATTGTGTATATTTGCAGCTTCCAGCTGGATTGCCGGTTGTTCGGTCTGACCGAGGGACCGGTCTAGTGTAAGGAAGGTTTACGATCTATTAGAAAAAAAGTGAAAGCAGCGTCTCGGTAGCTCAGTTGGTAGAGCACCTGTACTACTTGATGAGCGAAAGGCCTAGTAATAACTGCCAGGAGGCTGCAGGATCGAAGCCTGCCCGGGAGCAGGCTTCGAAAACGCGGACCGACTTTTGCGGACCGAAACTTACGGACCCGACGAATTCCTCAAAACATAGCTCATTCGAAAGTGCTTGGTCGAATGACATCAAAATCATCGTGATTGTACAAGCTTGGACAAAGTTACGATGGAAAAACAAAAACCTAAACCTATGGTCCGCAAAAGTCGGTCTGCAAGTTTCGCACTACCGTCGGAATATGGTTGCCGTTTTCAAGTTAAGCCGACATTCGAGAACTTTTTTCAAGTTTGGGTAAAACCACCACAAGTTTGTAATGTGTGGTGCTTTTATTAGGAATCTGTAAATTTTCTAAATTTGCCTAAAGCCACGAAAGTGACCGGAATTTTTTATCTACTTGTCATGAGTCACTTCCTCCGCAATACATCAGATCCTTCATACCTCAAATTTGTTTGATCACTTGTACCAGTGATATTCTGAATAGGATACATTTCATTATAAGGTAGAGGACCTTTCAGCTTCCACTGAATAACATTTATCTTGGGGTAATACGGACACCCTCAATGGTAGAGAAGCCCACAACTCACATTATTTTCCACTATCTGACAACTCGCCGACGTACCCAGCTATTGACCAATTTGCTTGGTTACTGTTTAGGGAAACTTTCTGAAAGATAAACTCTATCTAGAGCATATATGGTGTGGTAGAGGAGATATCTAAGCGATTAACTCTACTTAGTTACATTTTATTATAAGCTATGATTTTTCTCTGATTTTATAACAACAAGATATTAGCCTTCAAATCATGTTTATTATAATAACAAATTTTCGATTGGACTCATAATACATAATAGAACCAAAAAATTTTATATTCTTTGAATAACGTTAAATTCCGATTTTTTTTTAAATTATCATCTCATATTTCTTTCAATTTCATCCTTCGCTTAATTCAAAGTCTGATTAGTGTTTACAATTTGTACAAAGTCAATTTCGCATTTGCGAGTGTCAGTGGCATCGCAGCTTCCAAATCCCTCAGCAACAAACACTTCTGCTCCATTCTCTCCTATCGGACAATACATTTTAAACGTTCCATAATGGTCAATATATTCGTGAAATTCACTGGATTGCACTTTTAGATATTCTTGTTCAGCATTACAACTGTATCCATCGACATGACAGGGGGGTTGAGTACAGTTGTATTGTAGCCCGCAACTCACATTATTAAATACACCAAGGCTAGGATCTGTTATTAATTAAAAGAAAATATTTAACATAGTTTTCTGTTGAACGACCCTTAGAGTAGGCCGAAGACTGAAGAGACATGTTCCCCATGGATAGAATGCAGGCTGGAGAGTACCTGTTCCGTTAGGACTGGAATGTAGGCGAAGACAAAAAAAATTGTAATGAAATGAAAAGAACATGTCTCTTTTGAATGTTCCGTTCGGATTAAAAAGTAGGCTGAAGAGAGACCCTTGGGACTAGAAGTAGGATGAAGAGATCATGTTTCCTCTAAGACTAGTAAGAAGGCTGGAGACTGATGTGCCGTACGGACTGAAAAGTAAGCTGAAGAGATCATGGATCGTTTACAATAGAAAGTATTGTGAAGGGAAATAGTCATGTTCGGTTTGAAAATACGGTGGAGAGAGAATATGCCCTTCAAGCTAGTATGTGGGCAGATGAGAACATTAGGCACCTTTATAATTAGTACTAATTGGATTAGACACTTGTTCATTTTCAAACTTACAAATATTGCAGTTAAATCCAGTCTGTGGCAAGTTTGCGTACTGTACAAGTCCAGAACAAGCCAAAAATGCAGAAATCATTACACCTACAAAGTGTGTCTTGCAGCATTTAAATTCTGGATCAGCAGTGACAGTTATTAATTTTCTCGATTTTCTGATTGAAGGCTCTTCAGGCTCTTCATCACACTCCGCCTCACACTTTTCCTTCCTCTTTAACTCTTTTTTAATCTTCTCTTTTTCGTTGTTGAACAACTTTTTTTCCTTTGCCTCCGTTAAGCCGTTCAAGGCGCTAAATTTATTTTTCACTTCCACATTGTATCGAGCCTGCAATTTGTTTTTTGACGTCTTTGGCTCCTTCTTCTCCTTCCCAGTGGGAATTTCCTTGTTTTTGTTGCCTTGATCCTTTAGCATTCTTCGATATCCATAGAATGGAGCATCTGGGTAGACTACCTTTGGAGCTTCAAAGGGTTGTGGAATGAATGAATTCTGTTGAGGTTGAACAACATTCAAAGGATGAATTTCACCTTAAATATAAGCTTAGTTTTGTAGAGGAGTTGAAACCTATCCCTAATTGACCGATTTAGGAGATTATTTGAAAGAGCTGGAGTCTCCACACCGCCTCTCTACCTCTCAGCCCCTTCGGACCTCATTTCCCTATTGTCTCAAGTTCCACTGCCATGCTAGTACATATATATTATGCCTGTGAGTTCCTCATCAGAGCAAAAGTTGTTGTCCATTTGCTTATTTTCTGGGATGGGTTTCAGGTTTTGTAGTGGAGTTCAAGCCTCTCCCTATAAACAGATTCAAAATTCCACTTGATTATCTTAAAAGTCCTTAGAAATGGTGTTCGATGTGTGATTAACAAGTCCTATACGATTTTTTTGTATGTTTTTTAGTATATAATTATCCAAAATTAAATTCTCTACCTTCAACCGCCCCACAATTTTTAATTAAAATTTGACTTAAAATAATAAATAAAATAAGCATCTTAAGGAAACTTGGTTGGGAATCAAGTCGGGAAAATTTAAAAAATAATAAAAATTTAATTAAATCAGCGAGCTTAAATAAAGGGAAAGGGAGTCGGAAATTGTCAAAAAATTATGAAAGCAGGGAAAATAAATAATTTTTAAAGAATGGCAGTGCTTGTTTATTTAAAAGGGCAACATTGTTAAAGTGCTTATTAAGAAATTTATTTTTATTTTTAATTTTTATTTTTTTTATTTTTGAAAAGTGCAAGTGTATTTTGAAAGGTAAAAATTAAATAAAAAAATATTTTTATGACAGAATTTTGTTTTGTCTGACACGGACAAACGAGAGGCTGTTGAGTGTCTGCGGGGGCACCACTAAAGCAGATTATAATTTATCTTTCTGCCAAATTTAATCCCGAAGTCACACGGACACCCGACTAGCCACGGTTCTTGGAAAATCTTACCGGAAAATCTCGGTTCCTTGGTTTGGTCCAGAACCGATAATCCTATTAAAAATCTTTAAGTTTAAGAAATTAATTGAGTATTTTAATTTCTTTTCGAAAAAATTTCAAAAAATTTTTGAAATTTTTAATGTTTGGGATCATATGTCATATAAATTTTTAGACTTTTGAATTTTTAAAAAATGTTTAAAAAATTTGAAAATTTAAAAAAAAAACCCTCGAATTTGGAAAGGTAACCGAAATAAAAATATTAATCATTTTTTCTCAGTTAACAGTATACCCATAAAATATAGACACACTCAAACGGCGCTGAAACGGCTTGTTTCAATTCTTCCTTCTATTTTGTCTTTTTCTCTGGCCTTACTCTCTCGTATTTTAATTGGAAAATTTTTTTGGAATTTTTTAAAGTTTCTTAAATTTTTTAAAAATTTTTTCAGTTAATTTTTTTCGAAAAGTATGATTGATTGTCACTGTCATTTGGCAGATCCCTGTTTTAATGAAGATATTGGACAAGTAATTGAACGGGCGAAGGAGGTTTTTATTTTTTTTATTTAAATTTTATTTTAAAAAATTTTTTGAGGCTTTTAAAATATTTTTTAAATTTATTAAAAATTATTAAACATTTTCTAAGTCTTATTACTTATTTTTCCTAGTAAGCGACATTTGGTCCCAAATTAATTTTTTTTGAGATTTTTTGTGTTTTTCCTCTCCGTATTATTTTATTTTTAATTAAAATAAATTTTTAAACGTCCTAAAATATTTTTAAAAAATTTCTAGAATTTTTTAGAATTTTTTAAGGACGATTTTTTAATTTTATTACATATTAGGTGACATTTGGTCCCAAATTAAGTTTTTGTGTGTTTTTTGCGTCGTTTATGTGATAAAAATATTTCCGAACCTCTAATAAATTAAAAGAAAATTTGTTAGAATTTTTAGAAAATTTTAAAGTGATTTTCTAAATTTTCCTGTGAGGTGACATTTGATCCCAAAATTAATTTTTTCCCTAAAATTTTATTTTTTTAAATTTAAAGGCTGGTGTAGTGCATGCCATCGTTGTAGCAGAATATCCTACCGATTTTCCTCGTGTTCTCCAACTAGCGAAACAATTTCCTGATTTTATCAAGCCCTGTTTGGGTGTTCATCCTGTTCAGGTTCTTTCAGATTTTTTTGAATTTTTCCTGAACTTTTCACTGACTTTTTGAAATTTTCCTCCTATAATAATCTCAATAGTAATTTGAAATTTTCTAAAAAATTTTTTTTAATTTTTCCAAAAAAATTTTTTTTTAATTCGAAAAAAATTTTTTTTGATGACATGTGATCGGGACTGGGCCATTAGGGCGCGGGGCCATTAGGGCGCGAGCTTATAAAACAGTGAGTTGCTTATCAAAAAAGATAAAATTTTGCAATAATAACTCTCATGCCTTTATCTACCTTCTCCAAAAATTTCAGAATTTTTGATCAAGAATTTCGGAAATTGTGGCCAAAAATGTTGATTTTCCGAAAAAACCCTAATTTTTCGCGGGTTATCGACTATAACTTTAGAAATATTTGATGAAAAATTCTGAAATTTCTGGAGGAGGTAGTCAGTGATGTTAAAGAAATTTGAGAAAATTTTCATAAATTTCGGTTCCGCCTAAGTGTCAGTTTCTAGTGCTGGCGCCCTAATGGCCCCGCGCCAAAACGACCCCAAAAATTCTTCAAAAATCCATTTTTCCCCTCTAATTTATTCCTTAAATTTTAGAAAGGCTGGGTTTCAGTCACTCAACAAATGTATAAAGACACACAAGTTGAAAAATCAATTAGGGATGCTTTCGAAGCCAATTTATTGCATGGAATTGGGGAGGTTGGACTCGATTTCACCCCAAGATATTTAACCAATGGAAGCGGCGATAAAGACGAACAACGAGCTGTTTTTGCTTCGCAAATTGAGCTGGCGAAGGAATTGGATTTGACTTTGTAGGGGGTTTCTGTTTAATTAAAAATTCTGATTTTTTAAATTCTGATTTTTGGTAATTCTGGTTTTATATTCTGATTTTTCCGTAATTCTGATTTTTTAATTCTAGGTTTTTTTTAAATTCTGATTTTATATTCTGATTTCTAAAAATTCTGGTTTTTGAAATGCTGATTTTTGGTAATAATTTTTTAAATTCTGTTTTTGTTAATTCTGATCTTTTAAATTCTGATTCTTTTGTAATTCTGATTTGTAAAATTCTGGTTTTTTAATTCCAATTTTTTGAAATTCTGATGTGTAAATTCTGATTTTGTTAAATTCTGATTTTTATAATTTTGATTTTTAAAATTCTTATTTTTGTAATTCTGATTTATCTAATTCTGATTTTTTAAAATTCTGATTTTTTAATTCTGATTTTTAAAATTCTGTTTTTTCGTAATTCTGATCTAAAATTCTGGGTTTATAATTTTGATAGTTAAATTCTGATTTGTAAAATTCTGATTTCAATAAATTCTGATTTTTTAATTCTGATTTTTAAAATTCTGATTTTAATAAATTCTGATTTTTTCGTAATTCTGATCTGAAAATTCTGGGTTTATGATTCTGATATTTAAATTCTGATTTTTTACTTCTGATTTATGATAATTCTGGTTTTAAAAATTCTGATTTTTTTGAGATTCTTCTTAAATTCTGATTATTTAAATTAAAGAAACGTCCATTCCCGTTCTGCCGGAAAGCCTGTAATCGAACAATTACAATCCCTTGGAGCAAAAAATGTTCTTTTGCATGCATTTACAGGCAATATTAAAAGTGTTCGTTTGGGTGTGGAGGCCGACTTTCATTTTTCTTTGGCTCCAGCTTTTACTGTTAATAAAGAAAAGGTGTTGAAATTTTAAATTAGTTTTGTTCTATAAGATATGGGGCTCAAAATGGTCAAAAAAGTTAACTCTAGGGGGATACCCATCTCTTTGGGTTGGAGCTTTATTTCGGTTTTGTGCCTATATACTAGAGATCAAGCTCGACCTGGACCAAAGCCTGTGTTTTTCCGATACCCAGAGTCCTGGTCCAGGCATTTTTTGAGGTGCTCTGTAGTCTCGTCAGAGGTTAGTTTCGTCAGAGGACATTTTCGTCAGAATCAGTTTCGTCAGAGGTACCTCTCGTCAGAGGACACTTTCGTCAGAGGGTTGTTTCGGTAGTGATGAGTTTCGTCAGAGATCCTTTTCGTCAGTAAGGCCCCCTTTTTATAAATACTAATTAATCTGCGGTATTATGAATTGTACTAGGTTATTTGTTTCTGGATCGATTTAGACAAATGAGGTGTCATTCGAAAGCGCTCTAAAAACTGAGTCGAAACAGTTGTGGAAAAAGTTGATCCGACATTCAGAGACCAAGTTACAGACTCCTGAATCATGATAAACCCTAGGGAGGCTCAGCTCGTCGAGCTGGAGTCAGCTCGACGTTCTTATCTTAATGAGTTATCATTTGTTAACTCGAATTTTTCAGCTCAAAAATCAGCTTTTCAGAGTCCTTTCGAATGACACCTCATTGGCCCAAATCGATTCAAAAACAAATAACCTAGTACAATTCATAATACCGCAGATTAATTAGTATTTATAAAAAGGGGGCCTTACTGACGAAAAGGATCTCTGACGAAACTCATCACTGACGAAACAACCCTCTGACGAAAATGTCATCTGACGAAAGGGACCTCTGACGAAACTAATTCTGACGAAAATGTTTTCTGACGAAACTAACCTCTGACGAGACTACCTGACACGTTTTTTGTCCTTCCTGGATTTTTCCTGGACCTAGGTTTTTCCTGGACTACAGGCCCAGGATCCAGTCCAAGTCAAGAAATCAACTCCATTGTCCAGGAACAGTTCCAGGCTTTTCAAAAATCTCGATCTCTACTAGATACCATGACTCTGAGAGGTTAGGGGAGCAAAATATGGGACGGGGTCGGGGTACAACTTTAGTGGGAATACGGTATCCTAATCCTTTAAAATTTTAGGAAGAATTTGTGCGTACTGTCCCACTCGAACGTCTTTGCCTTGAAACAGACTCACCCGTCTTGGGCCCAAATAGAGAAGAACGAAATGAGCCCGCAAACGCTCGTTTGAGTGCTGAATTTATTGCGAAAGTAAAAGGAATTGATGTAGCTGAAGTGATAAGAGTTACAAGTGCGAATGCTCGAAGATTGTTTAAAATACCGCTGTGATTTTTGGAATTTTTGTATTTAATTTTTGTTGAATTTTTTGAAAGAAATTTTTTGATTTTTTCTGTTTTTGAGGTCCGATTAACCCGATAAATGTATAAAAAACCAAATAGTTAACCTATAAGGCTATAACTTTTTAACTTAATATATCCACTTCAAAAAAGATGTTGCTTATCGAGGGCTCTCATACGATATTCATTGAACTGGATTTAGCCCAAAAAAGTTATAGCTAATCAAAGTCGGCTGCCATTCAAGTTGTGGGGGGTATAAGTAGGGTTAGTGGGGGGGGGGGGGGTAGTGCGAAACTTGCGGACCGACTTTTGCGGACCATAGGTTTAGGTTTTTGTTTTTCTATCGTAACCTTGTCCAAGCTTGTACAATCATGGTGATTTGATGTCATTCGACTCAGCTCGTCGAGCTCTTTCGAATGAGCTATGTTTTGAGAAATTTGACGGGTCCGCAAGTTTCAGCCTGCCGGTTGGGGGCCCGATCCGGCCCGGTCCTAAAGATCGAGTCGGGCCAGGAATTTTGGCCCGAAAAAGACACGGAAAAGACTCGGTCGGGCCGGCCCGAAAAAAAAGGAGGCCCGAAAAGAATGACTCGAACGTCGCCGACTCGAAAACGGCAACCCTGGGTTTAACATATAAATATTGGAATTTTTATTAGAAACTACTTTTAGCTTTAAAAACATTACAGAAGGAATTTAGGCTAGCACAGACTTTAAGCACAGAATGTGGCAAAAGCTCATAGTTTATCAAGGAGGATAAAATTTTTCAATACTACTTTATTCCGAGAGTTAGGTATATTACTTCTCGGGAAAATTTGCCTTCTTCAGTTTCATCAGCTTATACAACAACGATTGCTAACTTCAAATCCTCTCTCTTGAAACCAAATTAAAAATATTCTTCTCTTCCTTTATATTATTCTCTTCCTCATCTTCTCTCCCTTTCAGCACCCTTTGTTTAACCAAAAAAAGAAAAATAGAGTTAATGTTAGAGACAAAAAGAAAGAAATAATAGAAATAAAAATAAAAGTGAAAGAAAAGAGAAAATACGAGGGACTACTCCTTTTTCCTTTACAAAACAGCGTTTTCTATAAACTGACATTTTTCTCTTTTAAATGTTTAATAGACTATGGGTAGTTGACCCATCTATATTTACCTGGCTGGGGCGCTCATGCGATCAAGAAGGCATGGTGTCTGTGGTGAGACTTCCCCATTGCACTTGAGGGAGAGGTTGACCCGCAGGGCGGCTCCGAACTGGGGTAGGCCCACAGCTAAATTTTTGAGTGTGGGGACAGCGTTCGCGCTTCCCCTTGAAATATGTATCGTCAATTTTGGAGTGATATTCATGTTAAAGGAAGGACGGAGCAGGCCAACGTACCGCAGAGCTATAACTTTATTCAAAATAGTCGAATCTGGGACGCCTTGGTATGGTTTGATGCATCTCGATGAGCTGAATCGAACCATATCAGGGCGTCCCGGATTCGACCATTTTGCACGAAGCTATAGCTCTGCGGCACGTTGGCCTTGCGGTACGTTGAGGTGTACCCAGGGAAAAATGGGCGAATTTTCATTAACACAGGCGTTTTAAAACTGCCATTTTCTTCCTTATAAGGCTTAACATTAACAGTCTCCTTGAAGATAGGACCTAGCTTTGGAACATCGATGCCCCTGTAGCTCAATGGTATGGTTCTTATTCCTTCCCTTTAGTAGTTCCTAAACCCTCACCCAATTTCTTAGAAGAAAAAAGTTGAGCGACTTCTGTCAGATAAGCGCCTTAAATTATACCCGGTTGGACTTAATAGAAATGGGCACTTTTATAAGCTATAAGGCTCGGGACTCATACGAGTTTGGACTCAACAGAGGTGTATCGGTTCTATAATCAAAGAAAAACATAAAATTTTAAAAAACGTTTTATCAAAATCGGGGGAATATAAGCCGATTGATAAAAATGAATCTGAGGGTCAACAATATCAGATTCTTGTCTACAACTACATAGAATGAAAATAAAATGTACAAAAGCAAAATGAATATAAACAAGTTGAAAAACAGAACTGAGTTAAATTTTTGGGAATTTTTTAGCGAAAATTTTTGGGGATTGTCAGAATTTGTGGGATTTTCAGGCTAACATAAGAAGCCAATGAAAAATATAAAAATATAGGGGGAATGATAAAATGGGTGTTTGTGAATTTAGTAGGGTTTAACCGGAAGTACCGGTTCTGGAAAGTTCCGGCCTTTTTTGGTTCCTGTTTCGGTTCCTGCCGGAACTAAGAAAAATTTCTGGTTCCGGAATCAGGAACTCAAATTGGACCCGTTTAGGTTCCGGTCAAAAATTCCGGTAAAACCCTAACATTTAGGTACACACTCCATTTATTCGCAAGAGGGGATGCGTCTATAATATTTACGAAGCTAGCAAGTGTTAACTCCAACCAGGGGCTGACGCAAACCAGGGGCTTGCGTCTAAAATTTTTGCGTCAACCCAAAAATTAAGCTGAAGGGTTCCTCATCAACTTCCCTAGGGTCACCTATAACATTTTTCCTTGCGAATAAATGGGGTTTTGTCAGCTTGTATATACATGTGTGAAGTCATGCGAATAAATGAGGGGAACAGGGGGGGGGGTTTAATACACAAGTTTCATAAGAGGTGCAGAAATCTGTACTTAAAGTCGAGGAATTCCCGTGCTCTTAATCGGGAGTTTAATTTGTATGTCGGTAGGATCACTGTTTCGTGGCAATGCCACAAAAATTTTTTTTAAAATCTCTTCCGGTTGGAATAAAAGGGTTAGGATGGTCTCTTCAAGGTATTCTTTGCTTAATAGAAAAAGTGGGTTTCTCCTTTAGAGAGAAAAGTGAGTACTTTTCCGTTTGGGAGGAAACCTCTCCAAAGGTGTCCTCCCAAAAAGAGGTTTCCTTTCAAATGGGGGGGGGGGGGATTAAATCGACAAAACGCTCCCATAGAAATTTTTCCTGAGCCCCATCCGTTAGAGAGGAAACTCGAAATGAAAACCTCAGGTTAGAAGGGCCATTACAGTATTTCTCTAAAATATGGGTATTTTCTGTTGTGTCCGCACTTGCAGAAAGAATATAAATGAAAATAAATATCCTACCAATGGGTTGGATGGTGGCACAGTCGGTTGTGCTTGCGGTTCGGGCCCTTTCCGTGATGGTTCAATTCCATCTCCCATCCAATGAATTTTTCCACAGCATGAACATTATATTTTCTACAAATTCCATTTCTGCTAACCCCCATTGGTTAACCCAAATTTTAGAATTTTAAATAATTTCTGCACCTTTGTTTTAAATTTCGAATGAAAAAAGGTTAATTGTGTTAAAGGAATACTTGGAATTTCTTTTTTACAGTGTTCGTTCTCGTAGTTCTTGTAGCTCACAATTTTGCAAGTTATTTCAAATTTTGAAGTGAATCTTCAAAAGCAGTACTTTCTTTCTCGTTTTTCTTCATTCGTTTGTCCATTTCACGAATGTTTTTAGGCCAATTTTCAAATTTTAGCAATCTCTTTTTAAATTTCTCGTTAGCAATGGCGGTGACAAATTCATATACGAACTTGAGGCTTTTGAAAGGCATAGGTTTATCTTTGGAAGTAAGGCCAGCAAATATTACTTTGTAGTAAGCAATGTCGATGAGTTGATACAATGATAATTCATTTGTAACTACCTTTTAGAATTAAGTAATGGTGTAAAGCATATAGCTATTTAATTCCTAGGCGGCATGGTGTAATGCCTAACACATCAGCCCGGTCTACTGAAGATGCTGGTTCGCTCCCGCCGAATAACCTTTTGCACTAGCTAAAGGAGAGAAATAGCTATAGCACAGCTGCTTTACTATGGGAGGGTATAGTTATATTGTCTAAGCCCGGTTTAACATGACTTTTATAAACTCTGTTCCTTACCTTTATTTCCTTCCCGTTTGAATAAAATATGCCATCTATTATACCCTGTTCAGTATCCAAATTTTGCTGAACATTTGTTTCAGGTTTCATAACCAATTCTCCGTTTTCATACTCGATGAAGTAATTAATCTTTTTAACCGAATCAAAAAGGTTTAGGCGATCCATTGTATAATGAACTGAAAATTAATAGAGTAAAAGCGTAGTAAAAGTTTGATTCCGGCAGGCTTCAATCCTGAGAACTCCTGAGGAAAAATTTCTCCGACCTCTGCTTACTATAAACCGAGTTAGCATATATTTACTACTTAATTATTAAAGCTATGCATAATTTTTAAAGCTATGCAACTAAAGATATGCTCTAGATATGCTCAATTATCTTTCATTTTCCAGGGTATATTCTTGAATTGACAGCGATATTACTTTTTGCTTTTACGTCTTTTGAATTTTATAACCAAATCCCTAATAAACACTTACTTCTATATTTTTCATTTTTAGCCTTGTCAGTTCCGTAAAGCACAACCATTGCATGAGCATCAAAGTTACCTTCATTGTACTTAGAATGCTTTTTATGCTTTTTAATATCTGCACCTTCTTGGTCTGAACGAGAATACTTTATGTTTGCTAAGAATTTTAACAAAAATACAAAAATAAAAACTAAGATGATTAAAATTGTTAAATGCACGATAAGTATTTTAATTATTATAACGGAATAATTTTCTTGATCTTCCCGAGGTTCAAGGTTACCGTCAGTAGTAATGTTCGAGAGTTAAAAAAAGTCGAAAGTCGAAAACAAGAGCTCAAAAAACCCGAGACCGAGAGTCTCAAAGATCACTAACCGGCAGCTACTAAAAAAATTAATAATTGATATAATGTATATTATGCAAAATTAGTTTTTTTTATTTTTAAACATACATTGGTTAGTATAAATTTTCACTCTATATCCTGAATGATCAGCTAGCTTTACTTTTAACTTCCCATTATTTCCACCTTGACCTCCACTTGAGGAACTATCTGCTTCTTTAATGAGATGATGCTGTCCACCTCCAAAACTTTCTCCTCCTTTAAAGATATGAAGCTCTTCACTTCCGGAATTTTCTGCTTCATTATATTTAAGAAGCTTTTCAGTTTTAAAACTTTCTTCTCCTTTAACGCTAAGAAGCTTTTCGCTTCCGGAACTATCTCCTTCTTCATATT